AAGTTATTTAGGGTATTTATATCTCTGTTTATAAGTAAGATACATCTATACTCTTCCTCTTTCAACATATCTTTGATTTTTCTTAATTTTTCAGTTCCCTGAAACTATTTGTAAAAGACAAGGATTACCTTTTCCTTGAAGATTAAGTAAAATTCTCCTGTAAAATCATCGGGGCTCTGTCTCCTTGATGGGTGTGACTAATTACCAATTTGGTTTCTTTACTGATTATTGTTCAATGTAGGCTCATGGTTTCTTTTTTATTTGTTTGTGTTGATGTATAAACCTCTCAAAATTTCTCCACTTAAATTTAGTGACATAAAGTTATTTGTAGAGGTAGCTTATGATTTTTAATGATCTACTTTACCTGCTATGATCTCTTTTTATTTGTAACATTAATTATTTTGTGGATTTTCAGATCTTTTCCTCTTAGAGGCAGCAATTTGACCTTTTAAGACATATTATAAAACTGGACGCCAGACCCTAGTTTCAAGAGCTACATCCCTTAACCAAGTGCTGAAAGAGGGGCAGCTGTGGGTTCAGCAAAGCCAAAAGCAAGCCCAGAGTGCAGAGCTTGCAATCCATGTTGCAGCTGGGCATAGTTCAGCATCCAAGCTAATTAAAGTCCATTAGTTCATAGTGTGGAGTCCCACGTGGTTGTGAGTCATGTGGGTGAAGGGGGACACAACCCCCTGCAACAGGAGTCAGGAGCCCAGGAGCACGCAAGAGAAGAGAGTGTGCTCCTTTGTCTGGAAGTTTAAATATTCAGGCTTCGTGCACTTGCAGTGGCCACATCCATCCTGGCCACTAATTTGTTTCCAGGTGTGAGTGGGGACAGGTAGGCATCTTTCTATGTTACTCAGATCTTACTGGGCATGTGTCTCAACCGCCTTTGTCCAGTCCCTTCCCTGCATTGAGCAGCAGGGAACAGACTGGAGAGTATCAAATGCAGCTTTTTGGCAAAGACATGTGAATGGCCTGCCTCTATTCTTTGGTCTTCTCTTGCTCCTTCCCTGTTAACTAATAACCAGGTTGTAATAACCTGGTTATTAGTTAACCATGTGCCAGCACCATATTTTACACACAATAGGTTCGTCACCATTATACCAGTGAGGAGACTGAATCTAAGAACAGGTGACTTGCTCAAGACCATTCAGGTAGTGTCAGAAGTGACTCCAAAACCATACCTTGCCTTCAACCTTGATCTTGTTCCTCAATGCACCTTTTGGTGGGGGCTGGAATAGGCTTTGCCGTTGTCCTTTTGGTCCATCATCTTTATGAAATAAAGTATTTTAATAAAGTGAGATTACTGTGACAATGCTAAATGCAACAAGTGGGGGGGGAATATATTATTCTAGACACTACCCTCTATTTCCTTATCTATTTTCATTGGCCATAGAAACATTTACTTAAAATTCCTAAAGCTTTACAAGCTATAGAAAGGATTTTTAGAATCAGTAAATGTTTCCAACTGCATTTACCTTTACTCATTTTGTTGTTGTTGTTATAAAAATGAGCACATATACCCTGAAAAACAAAAGTCTTCAATTTTGGGATTTGTAGCTGTAGAAATCAAGGAGACAGACTCTTGTTCAGTAGAAAATATAATTATGCAAGTAACTACAAGAATGTGGTGTGTCAGTACATCTTCATTAATGAGTTCCGACTGTTGAAAGGATGTTCTGGAAGGAGAGATAAGCAGTTGTCAGATGTTCACAGACCTGTGCCAAATCTTAGATTTAAAGATATATTTGCAGAGAGATGTAGATAACTCCCATCTCTGCCAAGAGTTCTAAAATATCTTCTGTGCAATCCAGAGACAGAGAGGCATTGATCAGATCATCCAACTTCAGAGGGAAGGTAGGGGAGGGTGAGGGTAAGGGGGAGAGATCAACCAAAGGACTTGTGTGCATGCATATAAGCCTAACCAATGGACACAGACAACAGGGGGATGAGGGCATGAGCTCGGGGCCCGGGGGGGTAGGAGAGGAAAGGGGGATAAGGACACATATGTAATACCTTCATCAATATAGATTTTTTAAAAATAAAATATCTTCTGTGCTTGAGTGAAACGAATTATAAAATATCATAATGTTGCAAATTAACAACAATACAATCCCTTTGTTTTCATGCAGAATTGAGGAGTGAGACACTGATTTTTATGTGACATTTGACCAAATGAGAAAAGGTTATATGTTTACATCTTAATGTTGACCATAATGGGCATATATGAACCTATATGTACATGTAATGTTTATAAGAAGAATATATAATTTATTTATTTTTGTGGAACCCTTTACCTAAGATAATGAAAATCAATTTAAAAATTGTGTAAAATGCTTTTCAAGTAAACACTGCAGCAAAAAATGACATTTTTCCCACTCTGAAGAATTTTTTTTTGGGGGGGAGGGTTATTTTAAGATTTAAAACAAATAGATTAAAGAATTATAACAATTATGCTTTTTATTTCCTAGATATTATAATAACTTTTCCTTTATGATACATAAAATGTTTCCTTTTTTCAGAAGGATACCTACTATTTCACAATTTTCATTTATTTTTTGTGCTCTCATACTTTCCCACTATTTGTTTCTAAGCTTGGCATTTCTTCTTCTTCTTCTTCTTCTTCTTCTTCTTCTTCTTCTTCTTCTTCTTCTTCTTCTCTCTCTCTCTCTCTCTCTCTCTCTCTCTCTCTCTCTCTCTCTTTTAACATATTTTATTGATTTTTTTTTACAGAGAGGAAGGGCGAGAGAGGAAGGAAGAGAGATAGAGAGCTAGAAATGTCGATGAGAGAGAAACATCGACCAGCTGCCTCTTGCACATCCCCTACCGGGGATGTGCCCCCAACCAAGGTACATGCCCTTGACCGGAATCAAACACAGGACCTTTCAGTCCACAGACCGACGCTCTACCACTGAGCCAAACCGGTTTCGGCTAAGCTCGGCATTTCTAAGAGACTTGAAAATAGTCTCATTATTCTGATGGGCAATTCCTTTCGTTTCCCAGCTTTGAACTCCCTGTATGCATTCTTTCCCAAAGGAATTTAGGCTGTCCGTGTTGGAATATTTATTAGTTGACTCCAGTGAATTCCTGTCCACAGAGAACATTCCCTCACATATTGAGACATGTGGCAAGCACCGCCTTTCACTTGGATGGGAACTGGATGGCTAACGGAATGGGACAGGACACAGAATGACCAAGGGGATGTTTTAGCAAGGAGCACCCCTCCCCAACCTCTACACATGGGAAACCCGGGCCCAGGGAAACGGTTCCTTAGGAAGCACCATCCCATCATTTCCTTGGCCCTGAGTGGGTCTAGACAGTCAACCAGACCACGCTTTCCCGTCGTCCTTCCCACAGATAGATACCATGAATGCACGCACCTAAAATATGAACTTGGTGATCTAGATTTCTATGATTTGTGTTTGACCTTTCATTTCATGTGACTTCAGATGGAACTTAGAGGCTTGAGTTAGCTTTTCTTTTTATCTAACAGTCTAGTAATATCATTGAAAGATTTCCTTAGTAGAGATTAAAATGTTTAAACACACCAGTTTAAGTAAATAATTGTTACTTATGATTTTTATTTATGCAATCATTATAATTATTATTTTTAGTGTGCTCTATCCCTCTAGAACCAGTTCAAAGTTATTGTTATTATTAAGTAATAATTATTAAGCATGTAGCATTGTTCTAAATGCTTTATATGTATTAATTCATTAAATCCCCAAATCCATATTAATATCTTTCTCTTTAAAAGGTGTGATTTAAAATTCAGTGAGATTTTGTTGGCTAGCTCAAAAATACACAGTATCTACATAAAAGAACTGAATTTCAAATGAAAATGTTTCTAATTATTATACAATTACAATACAGTCTATTATTAGTGCTTAAAATAATTAATTGTTTCAATACAATGGAAATGAGCCTTGACTGGTGTGGGCTCAGTAGTAGAGAGTTGGCCTATGCACCAAAGGGTTGAGGGTTCAATTCCTGGTCAAAGGCACATACCTGGGTTGCAAGTTCATTTCCTTGATCAGGGCACATGCTGAAGGCAACCAATTGATGTGTCCCTCTCACTTCAATGTATCTCTCCCTCTCAATTCCCCTCCCTCCCACTCTTTCTAAAAATCAATGGGAAAAATATTCTTGGGTGAGGATACAAAAAAAATAAATAAATAAACAAATAAACAATGGAAATGAAATTATACAAATCATAAAAATACCACAAAATTATATAATGACATGCATTTAGCCAGTAGAGCTAGTATTAGGAAACTCTCTGAAATATAAGGAAAGTTTGCTTGCTTTCTTCCTTGCTCCTCTACAGGGGGAATGAAGATACATGTTCACCATTGTCCCATCCCAACAGAGGTCCCCAAGATGGGGCATGTTTGTAATGGTGCAAGCAACCCAAGAAAGCCAGCAGCATGAATCAGTAGGAAAGAAAAGAGAGCAATGTTTCCCTAAGCCTTTGATTCCCAGAGGGAAAAGCCATGGGTGAGGGAAGAGGGGTGAGAGGTTGGCTGGCTGGCTCATGTTCCTGCTGGGTGCACCCTGCCCCTCCCATCCTTACCCAATTGTCCTCACAAACTCAGCTGTGCCAACAAAGCAAACAACAAACCAACTGTCAAACACCATCTATTACAAGGGACTAAAGGCAGGGCAAAGCATCTTAAAATGAAGAGTTCTGACTCCATCCTCTGAATGTTGGTGGGCAGATACCCTCTTACTCAGAAGTCTTTTAATAATAAGATTAAATTTGGTTATTTCACTGGAATGTTCCAGCTAGTTCTTAAAAAGAGTCCTGATGTTATTTCAAGTCATCCCCATATGTTACTAGGATAGTGATTTATAATCATGGTTTTGAAATATCTTTTAATATCTCCTGTTATCTCAAAAGATGCCATAAAGTTTTCAAATTTTCCCCAAAGAAAAATGTTGAACATCTCTAGAGGGCTGTAAAAATAATCCCTCCATTTTTCTCTTTCCAGGATTACACAATGCCAAGCTACAAACTCATTTATTTTAATATGAGGGGGAGAGCAGAAATTATTCGTTACATATTTGCATATTTGGACATAAAGTATGAAGATCACAGAATAGAACAAGCTGATTGGCCTAAAATCAAACCAAGTGAGTAGCACAAATAATAGTTGATGAAAATGTGGGGAAAATATGTTTCCAGAATGTTTTCTTTCTTCAGGGAAATGAAAAACTAAAGAATTTTAATCTCACATGGCTTTATATTGAAAAAGAGCAGTGCAGGCAAGCTAAATAAATGCTATGTGACCCAGAAAACTTCGTATTCAAGGAAAAAATACTAACACCACAGAAAGAGAATACAGCAGAAACCGGTTTGGCTCAATGGATAGAGCATCGGCTTGGGGACTGAAAGGTCCCGGGTTCGATTCCGGTCAAGGGCATGTACCTTGGTTGCGGGCATATCCCCAGTAGGGGGTGTGCAAGAGGCAGCTGATCGATGACTCTCTCTCATCGATGTTTCTAGCTCTCTATCTCTCTCCCTTCCTCTCTATACAAAATCAATAAAATATATTTAAAAAAAAAAAGAGAGAATACAAAGATAAACCAATATGAAATTTTGTCAGAAGAACTGAAATGAGGATACTGAAATCGTGTTGTTTTTTTTTTAATCCTCACCTGAGAATAGTTTTCATTTATTTTTAGAAACAGTGGAAGAAGGAGGGCAAGACAGAGAGAAATATTGATGTGAGGGAAGCACATCGTTTGCCTCATGCACCAACCCCAACCAGGGCTCAGGCCCAGGAGGACCCTGCAACCAAGACATGTGCGCTTGAGTGGAATCAAACTCGGGGCCTTTGGTCTGCAGACTGACACTCTGTCCACTGAGCCAAACTGGCTGGAGCTGAAGTCAATATTCTTGATAATTAGAGTTGCTATGGATCTTTATGCTTTAACAAGGGATCAGATGTGGCCCTCTAACAGAAAATGAAACTCAAAATAGCTTAAGTAATAAGAATAATGACTTGTATCACAAAACTGAAAATCCAGAAGCAGAACAGGCTTCCAAGGATGGCTTTATTCATTTCCTCCTTTGTGTGTTGGCTGTATCATGTGGCTGGTAGCCATGTGCTTACTGCAATTCCAGCCGCACAGCCTTGAACGGCAATGCTCAGAGGATATATTAGTATGGGAAAGAGTAAGAGAGAGAACTGCTTCCTTAAGTATTCCCAGAAGAATAACAAAAACTTTCCCAGAAGGCCTCCGCAAATTTCCCATGTCTCGCTGGCACAAATTGAGTCACATGTCCTTTTCTGAATCAGTCACTGGCAAAGGGGATGATGGGAAGAACCTGAGAACCATCCAGCCCCCCTCTGACGTTGGGGATGGAATCAATTTTTATGAGGCATGTGACTATATAAGAGAGGGGTGGATATGAAAACAAAACTGGGATCTGTTTGATCAAGAAAAGAGCAAATGGACAAATTGGTCAAGTAACCCAACCAAAACATGCTACTTAGCATTGAGGACAATGGGGAAGAATTGAAAATATAACATTTAACAAACAACAGTGTGTGGTTCTCAATAAGTAAGTCATCCTCTAGATGTTATCTAGAAATATTAAGTACTAATTATGTCTAAAGTCGACATATTTATGACTGGATTATTATAAAATCACATAAAGATGAAGTTGAAGAAAATAACTATTGGGTCCTTGAAGACTGTCTGGTACTTGATAGATACTTTACAGCCTCTATTTCATTTAATTTATCTATCAATAGCATGCCTACATGGGATATATTATTTTAATTCCATAATTGGGATAACTGAAACACACAGAGTTTAGGTAATTTTTCCAAGTTCACAGCCCTAGCAATTTTCAAACATACGTCAATTTAATATGATGAACCAAGTTTCTTGTACTAGATAATGTTAACCACAATAATACTCTGATAAATGGTATGTGAACAGTAAGTATTGCTACGTGCTTTATGAGTTTCTTAAAAAATGAGTTTATGAGTTTCTTAAAAGCCACTCTTTTTGTTACCAGAGAATTCTTCTCCAGTGACTTAGAATATTTTGTTTTCCGTTTTTATGAAAATTTGCCATTAATGTCCAAATGTTTCTTCCAATATCAGGATTTTTATATGGGGTTTTTAATTCTATGGACATCAAATAGGTGAAAATTAACTCCATCACTAAGTCAAGAGGTAGAGATAATACATTTAAAATGCCACCTTTTAGGTATGTTTTTAGATTTTTCTTTTAGTGCCTCATATCCTATTTTGCCTTAACTTTTCATTGTTAATGAAAATGGAATTGTTGCATTTTCTTAATATTTTAAAAAATATTTTTATAAAGTTGAAAAGGATCTTAAAGTTTATGATAGTTAGGACATAGTTTCAAATAACAGATACTGAACTCAAAAGTGGTTTAAAGAGGATAAAATTTTATAACATTTGCATAAAATCCCACAAATATACACTAAAACTCTTTTTACCCCAAGAAACTAGAAACACCAATCAGAAAGGATATTTGCACCCCTATGTTCATAGCAGCACAATCTACAATAGCCAGAATTTGGAAACAGCCTAGGTGCCCGTCAGCAGATGGTTGGATCCAATAACTTTGGTACATCTACACAATGGAATACTATGCTGCCATAAAAAAGAAGGAATTCTCATCATTTGCAGCAACCTGGATGGAATTGGAGAACATCATGCTGAGTGAAATAAGCCAATCAATGAAAGAGAAATACCACATGACCTCACTCATTGGTGGACGATAAAGCTCTTTATAAACTGATGAACCAAGAGACAGAGATAGAGAAAGTAAAGCAACAGGCAGACTGTCAAATCACAGTGGGGAGGGGAGGAAGATCTGGGGGAGATAATAGATCAACCGAAGGGCTTGTATACATGCATATAAGTACAACCAATGGACATAAAACTCTGGGGAGGAAGGGGATGTGTGGGAGGGAGGGACGGGGGTAAAAAAAATAAAAAATCAATAAAATATATATAAAAAAAAAAAGAAAGTGTTCTGGATCACAGAAAAAAATATTTAGATAAATAAATGCACTTTAGGAAAGCTCAAAAAAAATAAAAAATAAAACTCTTTTTAATATATATGGGAAAGCGATTAAAATAATAAAATAGTTATAATTATATAGTAGAACTATTTTTATTTATCTTCATTTTAGAAGTTTTCTATAATATATATTGCTTTCTGACAAAAACATAATAGATTTGATAACAATAAAGTAGGGCTTACAGGTTAAATATTAATATGCTATCTGCTATGAGTCTTTCCTATGTTTGTACAAATATGCTTGCTGCCTTACTATAAACTTCAAATAGTGCCTCATCAAAAAGAGAATTTTGCTAAATTCCTTACCATAATTCACATGTAAGTCAAGCTTCCATATTATTCAGACTATGGTTTTATTTTAATTTTTTATTTTTTATATATTTTATTGATTTTTTTTTTTTACAGAGAAGAATGGAGAGGAATAAAGAGTTAGAAACATTGATGAGAGAGAAACACCAGTCAGCTGCCTCCTGCACACCCCCCACTGAGGATGTGCCCGTGACCAAGGCATATGCCCTTGAGCAGAATCAAACCTGGGACCCTTCAGTCCACAGGCCAACACTCTACCCATTGAGCCAAACTGGTTAGGACTCAGACTATGGTGTTAAAGAATAATTAATGTGATCGCTGATTAAGGCCTCAAAAATTAATGAAGCTTTAAAAGAAAGGTGTTTTTTTAATTAAGTAGTAAGCATATGTAAGTATATGAGATAATGCATGTATAATATAGAGTTTTACTGTACACCTGGGTTTTCAACCTGGTTCTGTCATCAACTGTATAGAAGGTCTTCTAACAAACAACTCTTATAAAAAAAACAACTAAAAAAAAACAGCCGAAACCGGTTTGGCTCAGTGGTAGAGCGTCGGTCTGCAGACTGAAAGGTCCCAGGTTCTATTCCGGTCAAGGGCATGTACGTTGGTTGCGGGCACATCCCCAGTGGGGGATGTGCAGGAGTCGGCTGGTCGATGTTTCTCTCTCATCGATATTTCTGGCTCTCTATCTCTCTTCCTTCCTCTCTGTAAAAAAAAATCAATAAAATATATTAAAAAACAAACAAACAAAAAAAAACACAACCTTGTAAAATGTAAAGATTCCACTAGAGGGTGCTTAATGTCTCTTAGAATATATATTCAATAATTTCATGACTTTAAGATCATGTCTTATTTCCATAATTATCAGTAAAAGAAAGCAGTATCGTAATAGATTTTATTATGGAAGTTGATTCTTTTCTCTTTTTATTTGAAGCTCTTCCATTTCGCAAAATCCCCATTTTGGAAGTTGATGGACTTAATCTTCACCAGAGCTTAGCAATAGCAAGATACTTGACCAAAAATACAGGTAGTATATGTATTGTGTTTTAAGATTTTAGATGACTGAAAAAAAAAATATATATATTATATTTATTAAACAAGTTTATTTTTTAACCAAAAATACGTGTGTGTGTGTGTATATATATATATATATATATATATATATATATATATATATGCACTTTATCTTGCACTAACACATATTTCAACAAATGAAATTCTTTGGAAGTTTAGAAGAGATGGTGATTCCTCCTTTAGAAGAGATGAAGATTTGACTTTGAAGTGAAAATGACATTTGAGTTGAGCTTGAAGGATCCCAAGTTTCAGGCTTGATCCCCAGTACCTCAATGATTCTCTCTTATCATTGATGTTTCCATCTCTCTCTCCCTCTCCCTTCCTCTCTGAAATCAATATATTTTTTTTTAAAAAAACCTGTCTGCAAAAATGAAAACAATTACTTTTGAAAATAAATGAAAATTAATATATTGGTTATTTATTGTAGTATTGCTTGAATTAGCAAAAGATTGAAAGCAAACCTAATCAGCTCAGGGTAAATAAAGTGTGGCACTTCTACTAACGGAAGTTCCATGGAGCTGAAAAAAGAGCAAGGACGCCCTTAAGTGACGTGTAAGGAGAAATCATTAGGACAAATGGGAGAGGCTCATAAAGAAACAATGAAAGAATATAAAAGAAATTAATAAAACAAATTAATAAAAAAATATGGTAGTTGGTAACAGCAAACTAAGATGGATAGGGGCAAGAGTGCAAGTTAGTCTTCACTGAGTACTGTTTTGTGTTGTTTTGAATTTTTGAGCTATATGAATATATTGCCTACTAAAAAAGTTAATGTTGAACATATTTGTGGGCCTCTATTCTACAGATTTGGCTGGAAAAACAGAACTGGAACAATGTCAAGTGGATGCTATTGTGGATACATTGGATGATTTCATGTCACGATTTCCTTGGGCCGAGAAAAAACAAGATATAAAAGTAATGTGATCAGTTTGCTATTACTGTTATTAATCAGATCCACTTGGTCAAACATGATGCTAGGTGCTTTTTTAAGTCCCTTTTTATCAGAGTTAGACAAACTTATAGCTTAAAAATGTCAAATTATATTAAAAAGTTTCAAACAAAGTACAGTGATTCTCTGCCCTACCCTTTTCACAATAACCTCTAAGAAACATCACTCTTTTTAATCCTTTTAGATGTTGCTCTAGGATTTTCATATCTCCATATATCTATAGGATATATAAAAGTGGCTTACTTTAATTGACTTATTTTAGATTCTGTGGACATCTTAGTATAGTAATAAGAATTTAAATCTTAGCCCAGACAGCATGCTCTGTGGCTGAGTGTCAACTTATAAACCACATGGTTACCATTCGATTCCAGATCAAGTCACAGGCCTGGGTTTCAGCCTTGATCCCAGTGTGGGGCATACAGGAAGCAGCCAATCAATGATTCTCTCTCATCACTGATGTTTCTATCTCTTTCTCCCTCTCCCTCTCTGAAATCAATAAAAATATATATTTTTTAAATAATTTCACTCTTACACAATCAACCTCTCTGCTTCCTATAAACTTCCTATATATATATATATATATATATATATATATATATATATATATATAAAAGCCTAATATGCTAATTGACCGTTTGACCATTCAACCAGTCACTATGATGTGCACTGACCACCAGGGGGCAGATGGTTAGCTTGACCAGTAGGTTAGCTTGCTGCTGGGGTCCTGCTGATTGGGACTGGGCAAGACTGGCCAGACACAGTCCTGGAGCACTCCTGTGGTCCCTCCTCACCCCTGATCATGCATCGGTGTGATCCCTCAGCTTGGCCTGTATCCTCTTGCAATCTGGGACACCTGAGGGGATGTCAGAGAGCTAGTTTTTGCCTAATTTCCACAGGCCAGGCCAGGGATCACACTGGTGCACAAATCTGTGCACTGGGCCTCTAGTATATCATAGTTATAATTTTTTAAAATATATTTTATTGATTTTTTTTTTACAGAGAGGAAGAGAGAGGGATAGAAAGCTAGAAACATCGATGAGAGAGACATCTATCAGCTGCCTCTTGCACACCCCCTACTGGGGATATGCCCGCAATCAAGGTACATGCCCTTGACCAGAATCGAACCCGGGACCCTTCAGTCCCCAAGCTGACGCTCTATCCATTGAGCCAAACTGGTCTCGGCAAGTATAGTTATAATTTAAAAAATTATATCAGTATCTCCATGTAAAATACAAAACTGCATCGTGGTATAGTTTTTTGAAAAATGTTTTTATTGATTTCAGAGAGGAAGGTAGAGTGAGAGAGAGATAGAAACATCAATGATGAGAAAGAATCATTGATTGGCCACCTCCTGCACTCTCCCTACTGGGGACTGAGCCCACAACCTGGGAATATGCCCTGACCGGTAATGGAACAGTGAACCATGCTGGCTGGGCCATAGTACACTTTGATAATATTTCCTTTCTCACTTTTCCTCTTCAAAGTTAGTAATTGTCTTTTTTGCATTTGCTTTATTCTTGTTAAACCTTCCCAGACTATTCTGTAACCTACCAATATAGTTTTCCACAGAGTCAGTGATATGATAATCTATTATTCTCCTTATTTTCCTGTTGATATCTGGCCAGAGCCTTTGTAGAGCTGACTAGGTTTTCTGCACGGCACTCATACTTCCCTTCACTGCCATCCTAGGGTTGTCTTTCTTTGAGTTGGGGTCCTGTCTCTTGGATGCCATCCTCTGACTTTATTTCCTCCTTTGTTTATTTGGGGCACATACTCTGGTTCCAAAAGTGAAAATGAAGATTTGATGACAGGAGATATGACCGCAGATAGTATGGATATGTCCCTCTTTTGTGTCTCTGGTTTGGTTGCTCTAAACCTGTGGTCGGCAAACTGAGGCTCACGAGCCACATGCAGCTCTTTGGCACCTTGAGTGTGGCTCTTCCACAAAATACCATGGCTTGGGTGAATCTATTTTGAAGAAGTGGCATTAGAATAAGTTTAAGTTTTAAAAATGTGTCTCTCAAAAGAAATTTCAATCGTTGTACTGTTGATATTTGGCTCTGTTGACTCATGAGTTTCCGACCACTGCCCTAGCTACCCAGTGCACAGCTTTCTCGTCCTGAGATCTTTCTCATCTTGGATTCTTCATTTAATCCTCTTTAGGGCCTTGTTTTTGTGGAGCAATCTTCTAATAGCTTACTGAGCACAGGAAAAAGTTTGGGGCCTTAATTGTCTAAAAATGTTTTTATTTCATCTTGATACTTGATTAAAAATTTGACTGGCTATAGAATTCTGTATTGAAAGTAGTTTTTCTTTAGTCTTTGAAAAACATTTAACTATGGTCTTCTAGCTGTTGAGAAGTCTGAATCCAACCTAATTACCGACCTTTTGTATGGGACTTTTTTTTTTCCCTCTAAAGCTTTTTGTCCCACCTGCCAAAGACTTCACTGATTGGCAGTCTGTCAACTTATGGGCTTTCCCTTATATGTTTCTCTATTTGGTACCCTTCCGTGGCCATGTCACAGAGGAAAATGTTCTTTGAGTGTTTACAGTAAGGGTAGCTTTTGTATTAGAATAACAATTCTCTTACCACCTACCTCAAAAAAATATTTCACAGGATGCTACCCAAACACATGAATAAATTATATGAAGGGAGAATGTGTTTCAGAAATATTGCAAAGAGCTACAAACTGTCTGATTAATAAGCAGACCCTGGCTAGTATACAATGATACTGCATAGGTCTTGTGTATTTTATCCCCTAGTCTCCTTGTAGTGGATTGTACTGCTGCCATCTTGTGGTCAGATAAAATTTTCAACAGCAGACTATTGCAGTAAAGATGGATGATGAAAATAGTTCTCTTATTCCATGTGCTTTAAAAATCTATCAATACACATAATTATAAATGTTTTAGCACTGGTTGCTGGTGATTCAATTTACAATTTTAAAAAATGAATTTAAATTTAATTTGAAAGACAAAAAATGTCTCTGGACATTGGTCACCCTGATAATCCTTGATCTTACCGCTAGCATTTCTTTGGTTATGCAATGTGTGTTTCCATTTCCTCATCTGGACAACAGGGGCAGCGGTCAGATGGAGGATGAGCAGGAGTGAAGGGATGCTCGTGGCCCATTTTCAATACTAAGTGGTTTTGGTAGTGTGGATTTAAAAATAATGCTTTGGAGAAATATGCAATCCTCTCTAATTCCTCTAAAAGCCATTTGATGGAATACTATAGCAAGGACTTCTCAGGGTGAAGGAACACCTCATCACTCCCTGGAGGAGGCGGTAGGACAGTACAGAAGAGTGGCTATCTAGGCTCTATTAGAAAATACATTTTAAAAAGTGCACACTTGGGAGACTGCACACCTAGAATGTGTGATCAAAGTTCGTCTTCTTTGTTATTTTGATGAGTATTATTTAAAATGACTTTAAAAAATACTAATGATTATCCTGTTTGGTTATTCATTAGACTAAGATGACCAAACACATAAAGAGAACGTGGGCTAAAGGAGAAGTCAATGGCACAGAGATAGGATTCTTATTTGGTACTACATATACACAGCCATCGGTATACCTGACTTCTGGACATGCACATTAGGGAAAGTAACAAAATTATCCAGGTGAGATTCAGGAGGTTTAGGAAAGCTGTCCAGCTGTTACATTCCACTCCGTTTAACTCCGTCTGGTTTCTAACTATTCATCTTTCCAACTGATGCTGAGCTGTGCTGAGCTACAGGAAGTGTCTGCCACCCTGCCCTGGGCCCATTGTGTCAGCTCAGAAATTCTATGTAAGAGACAGAAGAATTCACACTCTTTTATTTAAAACTATGGATATATTAACCACAAAGAGAGAATGTTATGTACCAAAGTGATATAGACCAGTAAAGAATATAAAATCAACATAATGATTAGATATCCACCTTTAATTTGTAAAATCTGGAAAATATATATAAATATGTAATAACTAGAGGCCTGGTGCACAAAATTTACACACAGGTAGGGGAGGCTCCCTCAGTCCAGCCTGCACCCTCTCACAATCTGGGACCGCTGGCTCCTAACGGCTCCTAACTGCCTGCCTGATCACCCTAACTAACCCCTCTACTGCTTGCCTGCCTGCCAGATAGCCCCTAACTGTTCACCTGCCTATCTGATTGTCCCTAACTACCTCTGCCTCAGCCCCTGCTACTGCAGTTTTGTCCAAAAGGTTGTTCAGCTGTCTATTCTAATTAGCATATTATGCTTTTATTATTATAGATGCTTTGCAAGTTATACTCTACAAATATAAGGCATTATGTTACAGAAATCCATATTACCTAAGTTATGATACCAGGAAGTAAATCAACAAATTGGTAAAGTAGTTACCCACTACCTGACTTACCTTAATAAAGGCTGGATTTTATTACAGGCATACCTCAGAGATATTGTGAATTTAGTCTCAGGCCACTGCAATAAAGTGAAAGCTCAATAAAGAGAGTCACAAATATGTTGGTTTTCCAGCACATATAAAAATTATATTTATACTATACTATAGTCTATTAAATGTGCAATAGCATTATGTCTAAAAAAAACAATGTATATACTATGATTAAAAAATACTTTGTTGCTAACCATCATCTGAGCATTCAGTGAGTATAATCTTCTGTTGATGGAGGGTCTTGCCTTGATATTGATGGCTGCTGACTGATCAGGGTAATGGTTATTGAAAGTCGGGTTGGCTGTGGCATTTTCTTACAATGAGACAACAATGAACCCCGGCCAATGTGGCTCAGTTGATTGAATGTTGTCTTGTGCACCGAAAGGTCGCCAGTTCCATTCCTGGTCAGGGCACATACAGGGCACATACCCAGGTTGCAAGTTCCATTCCCAGGCAATGTGTGTATGAGAGGCAACCAATTCTCTCACTCTCTCTCTCTCTCTCTCTCTCTCTCTCTCTCTCTCTCTCTTTCCAGTAAAAACATTTTTTTTAAAAATGAGAGCCAATAATGAAGTTTGCCACCTCAATTGACTCTTCACTTGAAGTTTTAGAGGCCATTGAAGGGTTATTAATTGGCCTAATTTCAATATTGTTGTGTCTCAGGGAAGAGGGAGGTCCCAGAAGAAGGAGAGAAACTGGGGAAGAGCTGGTTGGTGGAGCTGTCAGGACACACAACATTTATCAACTAAGCTTGCCATCTTATGTGGATGCAGTTCAAGACTCTCCCAAACAAGCACAATAGTAACATCAAGGATCACTGATCACTTATTACCATATCAAATATAATAATAATGAAAAAGTTTAAAATGTTGGGAGAATTACCAAATGTGACACAGAGACATGAAGTGAGCAAATACTGTTGGAAATATGGCACCATAGGCTTATTCAACATAAGGCTGCCGTGAGTCTTCAATTTGTAAAAAAAAAAAAACATACTATTTGGGAAGAGCAATAAAGTATTGTGCAGCAGACAAGGTATGCCTTTGTAGATCATTTATGGATATTAATAAATTATATACATTTTAAATAATATTTTTTTACTTTGACTTACATTTCCTACCCAGTATACAAACCAACCCAAATTTTCATATGTAAACAAACACTTCTCACCAAGAAATAGATCATAACTTATCTGTCTTCAGAGATTCAAGTAAAAACACTAAGATATTTTTTAATGCATATATATCTGTTAATTTTTTCTAAGATTCTTATTAGGTTTGTCATATTTCCTTATATAATGAAGCAAAAAAGGGTACCTAGATTGTGGGTTTTGTAGATAACATTCAAGACAGACAAATCTCCTACTATACTAAGGCACAATATTAAGCCAAAGAGAAAAAAATCTATAAAGGCCCACGAGCATATGATTCATTATGGATTAGTTCTGTTAAGTGTGCAGGTGAAATGAAAGACTGTCAAACCGGAGAAATCTAGCCTTACAAAACAAAATTAATTTCAGTTATGTTATTTAAGTTTAAAGAGAGTGAGGCTAAGAAAATTGGAATTTTAGCAATGTAAAAACATAGTAGAATCATTTCTATTAATAAAAATTAAGATAAAAATCATGAAAAGATTTATAGATGAAATATTTAGTCATCAAATGAAAGAAACTATAAGAACTGATAATAAAAGTATTTTTTTATCCATGTGTAATAAAGGAATGACTTTGATTTATAGAGAATTAGATGCAAATCTCTGTAATGTCATACATTAAAAAATACCACTATGTAGCTACTTCTCTTTGACCTCATATAGAAAACTAAAGAAAGAAAAATCTACTTCCCCTGCAGATCATGCTATTTATTTTTCTTCCTATTTTCTTAAAAGTGATCTTTTTCTTACTCTCTTAGGAGCAGATGTTTAATGAGCTACTTACATACGATGCACCCCATCTTCTACAAGATTTGGATACTTTCTTAGGGGAAAGAGAGTGGTTCATTGGTAACTCTGTGAGTATGTTTTACAGCTTAAAAAGTACAAGTAAATATATATATTTACTCATCAATGTTTCTCTATCTCTCCCTCTCCCTTCCACTCTCTAAAAATCAATAAAAAAATATTCTTGGGTGAGGATTAACAATATATATATCTTCATTTATTTGTGAAGATAAACCAAAGATATAAAAACTTATGGGGGGGGGGGGATTATCCATTAAGAGGGAGTAAGAGAGCAAAGATAAAAGCTAACATTTTTTTGAATAAACATTTTTTGGTAGACTTAATTTTGAAATCAATAACTAAAATATTTTATATAATTATATAACAACAATAACAAAAACATCTTTAAAAGTTATTACTGCAAAGCAAAGTGAAACAAATAAACCTGTGTCAGATTGAGGTGTATAGTATGTAAGTACGTATGAATTCTATTAGTGAAGAACTACTTTGAAGAACAGAGCTTCAAGCCCGGCCAGCATGGCTCAGTGGTTAAGTGTAGACCTATGAACCAGGAGGTGACAGTTCAATTCCCAGTCAGGGCACATGTCCAAGTTGTGGGCTTGATCCCCAGTGTGGGGCATACAGGAGGCAGCTGATCAATGATTCTCTTTCATCATTGATGTTTCTCTCTCTACCTCTCCCTTCCTCTCTGAAATCAATTAAAAAGAAAACTAAGAAAATATAAAGCTGTAGCTGATTTGTCTCAGTGGGTAGAGGGTCAGCTCAGACTGAATGGTTCTGGGTTTGATTCTGGTCAAGAGCATGTACCTCCGTTGCAGCCTCTATCCCAGCATAAAGAATGTGCCTTTTTCTCATCAATGTTTCTCTATCTCTCCCTCTCCCTTCCACTCTCTAAAAATCAATAAAAAAATATTCTTGGGTGAGGATTAACAAAAAAGAAATAGCATAATATGAAGAACACAGAAATTTGACTATATATGCTATTGAGAACCTTTCACTATGGGAGAAAGAAGATAGAGATATAAGATCAATAAGGTTAAGTAAACATTCTATTTCTGAGTGTAAACTATATGCAACAGTATATACTCATGTTGTACTTTATCTTAAGATAAAGTATAAGAAAAATTCATTTAGTATCTCTTTTTCAACAATGACCAACACAGTTGTCCTGGCCACCCCTAAGCCTGAAATTCTGGTCTTCAAACACTGGAGGAACCAGAGCTTCTTGGAGAAAGGCTCATTCTCAGTTTGGAACAGGAAATGTAAAAGATTAACTGGGAATTCCTTGTCATACCAGAAGGAAATAAATTCTCAAAGCCAACAGGAGTTGTGTCCAAAGGTCTCAGAAGTCAACCTGAAGAGGCTCCTACTGGCCAAAGATAATTCAAGCTGCAGTGAGAATGTTAACTGTAATGGACTGAAACAAATCAAAATGAATGAATCCATGAGTATGACCACCACAACCAAACACACAGACACATACAACCCCCCAAACCAAAGTTTCACTGGTTACTTTTAGAAGATGCTACAGAGCCAAATTATTATTATGAAAACAAACAGAAAAGTGGGAAGTTTGAATCTCAAACAGTTGTTGTATCTCAAGATAATAAAAATTGATGGCCAAATTTGTCTTCATAAAAACATTTTAGTTAATATTAGGTCTAGTAATAATTAATGTCGTTTTCTAATACTTTTTTTTAAATCGAATTTAAACAATACAACAAAATTTAATCAACAATATAGTTGCCATTGTTTTCTACTACTTGTGCCCAACACTCAGGAAGCATTTTAATCCCTCTGTTGTAAAATTCTTGTGATTTTGATGCAAAAAATTCGGTCAATGCATTTTTGAGGCAATCTTCATTATTAAATTTTTTTCCAAGAAGAAAGTTTTGCAAAGAACGAAACAAATGGTAATCGGAAGGGGCAATATCAGGAGAATATGCAGGTTGAGGGAGAACTTCCCATTCCAACTGGCGCAGTTTTTCAGCAGGGATTCTTGCAGTATGCGGTCGTGCGTTATCGTGGTGAAGAATTATGCCCTTCCGATTAATCAGCGCGGGTTCTTTTTCTCTTAAAGCTTGGGCTAACCTTTCCAATTGGGCACTATACACTGCACTTGTAATGGTTTGGTTAGATGGTAAAAGTTCATAATGAAGAATTCCTTTAAAATTCCACCAAACACACAACATCACTTTTTTCGCATGCAAGTCAGGTTTTGGGGTGGGCTGCGGAGCCTCATTTTTGTCCAACCATTGAGGCCGCCTTTTCAAATTAACATACAGCACCCATTTTTCATCTCCGGTAACAATTTGCTCTAAAAAACGGCAAACGGTTTTGACGAGAGAGGAGCGAACTGCAAATTGTGACTCTTTGATTACGGTTGTTATCGGTCAACTCATGAGGAACCCATTTTCCAAACTTTTGGACTTTGCCAAGTGCACTCAAATGATTGGAAATTGTTTTTTGTGAACAATTTAAAGTTGTCGCAAGCTCTTGTTGGGTAATTTGAGGATTTTGCACCAAAAGAGCTTGAAGAGCTTCTTGATCAAAATTGGACACACGGCCTCGACCACTCTTGTCATCTAACGAAAAATTTCCCTCGCGAAATTTCTCAAACCAACGCTGGCATTTTCTGGCGCTAACTGCATCTTGACCAAGAGCACTGCAGATGTTTTTTGCAGCCTCACTTGCTTTTCTTCCTAATTGGAACTCGTAAAGCATGTAGTGCCGAATATGCTCTTCATCCGCCATCTTCTTAGCCCTAGTTTTGCAACAAAAACCAAACCAAACAGAAACTTTTTCAAGCAAAACTTGTTAATTGCACTTCACACGTTCTGTAGATACCACGTGTTTGAAGGTTATGTCAATACAAGTCAACGCCAAGCAAGATTTTAAACGAATGTTTAAAACGACATTAATTATTACTAGACCCTAAATTAGGAGAGATTAAAATAAGTTATCACTGCCCTAGCCAGTTTGGCTCAGTGGATAGAATGTGGGCCTGCAGACCAAAAGGTTCTGGGATTAATTCAGGTCAAGGGCACATACCTTGGTTGCAGGCTCCTCCCTGGTCCTGGTCAAGCCTCCTGCAGGAGGCAACCAATCAATGTGTCTCTCTCACATCGATTGTTCTATCTTTCACTCTCTAAAAGAGCAATGGAAAAATACCCTTGGGTGAGGATGCACAATAATAATAATAATAATCATAATAATAATGAAATATCATCATCGATGTTTCTCTGTCTCGCCTTTCCCCTTCCACTCTTTCTAAAAAATCAACGGAAAAATATCCTCAGGTGAGGATTAACAACAACAACAAAAATAAAAATAAAAAAGAAAGAAAAGAAAGCAAGCTACTAGTCCACATTTGAACTTCACTTTTTGAGCCAAAGTAATGTCATCCAGACTCGTTTCTAGTCACAAAGGGGACAAGGATATAAAAAAAGTATACAAAGGTAGGACCAGCCTGTCATCATCATGGTCAATCTTAGGATACCACTTATGGTCAGACACCTTTATTTTAAATCATCTGATGTGATACAATATGATGTGTGTTAGCCAGAAATACTGACTTGAAACTATGAACTCTTGCCTTGGCTGGGTAGCTCAGTTAGTTAGAGCATTATCCTGATACGCCAAGGTTTTGGGTTTGATCCTGGTCAGAACACTTTTAGGAACAATGAATTCATAAATAAGTGGAACAACAAATCGATGTTTCTTTCTCCCTCTCTAATATAGATAAACTAGAGTCCTGGTGCACGGAACTTGTGCACTCAGGGGGGGGGGGGGAGGGGGCGCGGAGGGAGGGAATGTCTCTCAGCCCTGCCTGTGCCCTCTCACAGTTTGGGAGCCCTTGGGAGATGTCCAACTGAAGGCTTAGGCCTGCTCCCTGATGGCTTAGCACTGCCATGGAGGTGGGAGAGGCTTCTGCCACTGCCACTGCACTCGCCAACCATGAGCCTGGCTTCTGGCTGAGTGGCGCTCCCCCTGTGGGAGTGCACTGGCCACCAGAGGGCAGCTCCTGCATTGAGCATAGTCATTGTGCATTGTAACAACTGGTCATTCCACCGTTTGGTCAATTTGCATATTAGCCTTTTATTATATAGGATAAAACTCTGGGGAGGGAGGGTATGTATGGGAGGGAGAGGAAGGCAAAAAAATCAATAAAAGAAAATAAAAGAAAATATTATATAGGATACAAATTAAAAAACAAACAATAAATTCCATAGGTATAACTTACACCCTATTCCTTTACATTCTGCAGTGTAAAAGAACAAGGTAAACAAGGAGATGATCACACACACCATGAAGTAAGGACATTGTATAGGACTAGTGTGGAATCCTAACTAATGCAGTGATTGAAAAAAAAAAAAAAAAGGGTACAATTCTACATTAAAGGGAGTTAAAGGACACAACCAGATAAAATGCATGGTCTTAAAATGGATTCTGCTTTGTCCTATGAAGAACATTTTGGAACAGATGGAAAAGTATTGATTGTGTATTAGATAAGATGAAAATATAGTCAGAGAGATGAAGATTAATCAAGTTATAAGAGAATGTACTGTAAGATCTCATCTTTCTAAAAATGCACACACACATACAGAATACCACCTTATATACAGGAATTAATATTAGTACCCTCTGAGTGTTGGGAATATGGTGTTATCTGTAATTTTCTATCATACACATGTTATTGGACCTTGAATGCCAGATTCTTGAGTTTCAATTTCATAGAAATGAGCACTGAACTCAGTACAAGATCAAGCAGATGGAGTTTATTGAAAAGAGTTTGTGCACAAGGGATTTGATCAGAAAAAGAGAAGTTCTTGTGGATGTTAGTTTGGCATGGATGCAAGACTTGGGAATGAGGATGTGGTCAGTTGTCCCACAAAGGTCATCTGGTGGCAGTTGATCCTGGGGTAGTCAGAAGATGTTTTTTGTTTAAAACATATTTTTACTGACTTCAGAGAGCGAGGGAAAGGGAGAGAGAGCTGGAAACCAATGATGAGAGAGATGCACGGCCCCCTACTGGGCATGTGCCCTGACTGGGAATTGAACGTGACCTCCTGGTTCATAGGTTGATGCCCAACCATTGAGCCACACCCACTGGGCCACAGGATGTTTTCCGTGGTCAGTGGGCCCATAATAATGCTTGTACAAACATTCCGGTTACCATGTACTTGACAAAACAAAAATTTTGCAGAATATGATGTTTAAAAGGATGTTATCACCATACAATCATTCCTTTAAGGATGTGGTTAGGTTAATTTTAACTACAGAATTTTACTGAACCCAGGAAGTCATAGTCAGGCCTGTAAGATGGAGTTTAGATGTGACCCCTATACTGTCTCACACACATTCCACTTTTGTAATAACAAAAGATTACTTTGAATTAAAAAACAAACAAACTATTTTTTAGATTAAGAAGTGATGCCTTTTACATTGACGTGGAAATTTCTGTTTCTTTTCAATCAGGTAACTTGGGCAGATTTCTACTGGGAAATTTGCAGCACTACCCTTTTGGCCTTAAAAGCTGACTTGTTGGACATCCATCCCAGGCTGGTGGCATTACGGAAGAAAGTCCAGGCCATCCCTGCCATTGCTGACTGGATACAACGAAGGCCCCACACCAGACTCTAGGGGTTCCTGCTGCCTCCGACTTTGCTGTTCGCTCTCACCAGATAAGAAGCTACACCAGCCTGTCTCCCCTCCCCCACTCCATCAAGACTCCCATTTGCCATATTCTGTTTGAAAAGGAATAAAAAGGACATTTAGTTGTCAGTATCCATATCCCCACCCTCCACCCCTCCACCCCCCAACAAGAATACTTAGAATATTTATAACTGAGAAAAAATAGTTTAAGGCCTCGCCTTGCACCAGTTTTGTCATGCATTACTTTTGGCCACAATAGCTTATTAAATAACACATTCCCCCTGAAAATGGTTTGGATTTCAGTTACCATGGTAACTGTGAGTAACTGTATTAAGTATAAACCCTGTTGCTAGCTCTTCAGCCCACAAATCTCTATGTAAAAAGATGCTCAGCAAGACCATGACCAATGACGTCACTTCATTCAGTCTGTTAATGGTTGGTCCCTGCACATCTGTGTGTTATTCACCCACAGACAATAAAGTGTTGTTTATTGGCTGCTTGATTCTCTGTGATAAACCATCTTACAAAAGTGGGTAATTGAATAAAGGAACTCACTAATGAAGATGAAAATGAAATATAGTGGTAACCATACTTTGGTAAAAACTGCTGTTTGAATTTTAACCCTGCTAAGTCTGGCTCCTGCCTGATTAGACACGGAATACTTACCTCAGCTTCCAGGTGGAGACCTGGAGGCTAAGGCAATTTCCCCTTGCCTGGGACCAGGACCACAGGAGATTGATTCCCACTGACTCAGTAGCTTCACGGATAGAAACCTTTAGAGACTAACCGCTGAGCTCTGCTTCTGTGTTATCGGCTATCGCAAGATAGGACCACATTCCAATGTCCAGCAGGATGTGACTAGCAACCACCCTGCGGGCTGACCCCAGTCTTTAGAACATATTTTTTAGGATTTAGAATTTAGAACAAAGGAAAATTCCTGTGGTTTGAACCTTTAAAAGGGACTGCCTACCCCTGAAATGGTGCAGTCGTGTGGAGACCACCTGCGTGTGGTGCTCTCGCAGCTGTCCTGGCCAGATATTTCAATAAATCCTTGCCTGCTTTTTTTAATTAATCATCAGCCTCCGGTGGTCTTATTTTGAACCCAGGTTTTGACTCCACAACAGAAAATGCAATAAAGAAATGAGAGTGAAACAGAATTTTTGGACTGGAACTGGATTCTTTGTCCGCTGGAATCGAAGAATGAATCCACGAATAGAGGCTAGTATAGCAAAGGCATTTATTATATAGCAAAGAGATTTATTGACAATCAAGTACAGACTCCCACGTAGGGAGGGGGAGGACAGAAGGGTCCCACCGGCTTCCTGTTTCCATGGTTTATAAAGGCTGCAGTTCCTGTGTCCTGACATCCCCTGATTGGTCAATATTCTCTTTCAAATTGGTTACTATAGTGACTTCTGAGGCTGTCCTCCCTCATTGTCACCCTTTCTTCCTTCTTCTTTATTTTGTAAATATAGACCTTTCTTGGCTACTTCCAGTTCCCTTGTCTTATGAATATAGCTGTTACTGGCTCCCTTGTCTTATAGAAATGCAACTGCACCAGGCTTCCTTGTGTTATGGAAATGTACCTCTTCCCAGTCTGCAGCCCTGTGTATTTTTTTCCCCATGGACCCCAATTCTAAACATTCCCCAAACCTGCCTATGTTCTCCTAAAATTTCTGTTTCAAAAGGTGATAATGCTGGGGTGAAATTCAAACTGAACATAAATGGGAAGAGCCGATTGTGAGAATGCTGACACTAATGCAGTTCAAGAGGCTGATATGCAGCCACAACTTGGTGAAGGCACACTTACCAACATAAATGAGGAAAGGGGCTGTGACAAAGATGATATCCCGGCTTGGCTGGTTTGGCTTAGCGGGCAGAGCATCTGCACATAAACTGATGGGTCACAGGTTAAATTCTGGTCAAGGGCGATCAATCACCCAACCCAATGGATGTGTCTCTCTCACATTGATGTTTCTGTTTTTCCCCTTCCCTTCCATTCTCTCTAAAAATCAATGGAAAATATATCCTTGGGTGAGGATTCACAACAAAAAGATATCACAGGGAAGGTGAAACTGGTGTAAAACTTCCTATTAAAAGAACAGAGATCAAAAGAATGAGAATATAAGGCACAGAGTAGGAGAAATTAATTGCAAGACCTATCTGATAAAGGACTATTTTCTAAAACATAAACTCTTAAAGATCAACAATAAAAAATAAAAAACCCCAATTACAAAATGGACAAAAGACCTGAGCAGACACCTCACCAAAGATATACAGATGACAAATAAGTGTATGAAAAGATACTCAATATCATATATATCTGGGGAATTGCAAATTAAAAACAAGATACCAGCCAAAACTGGTTTGGCTCAATGAATAGAGCGTCGGCCTGCAGACTGAAAGGTCCCAGGTTCGATTCTGGTCAAGGGCATGTAATGTGGTTGCGGGCACATCCCCAGAAGGATATGTGCAAGAGGCAGCTGATTGATGATTCTCTCTCATCAATGTTTCTAACTCTCTATTCCTCTTCCTTCCTCTCTGTAAAATATCAATAAAATATATTTAAAACAAAACAAGGTACCAATACATACCCGTTAGAATGGCAAAAATTCAAAACACTGATAACACCAAATGCTGGCAAGGATGTGGAGCAACAGAAACTTTCATTCACTACCGATAGGAATGCAAAATGGTACTCTTTGATATTTACTCAAAAGAGCTGAAAACTCATGTCAAAACAAAAACTTACACTTAGATTTTTTGTGGCAGCTTTATTGATAATTCCCAAATTTGGAAGCAACCACGGTGTCTATAAGTAGGTGATTGAATGAACTGTGGCACATCCAAACAAAGGAATACTACCCAGCACTAAGGAAAAATGAGCCATCAAGCTATGGAAAGACACAGGAGGAAACGTAAATGCACATGAAGTGAAAGAAGCCAATAGAAAATGACTGCACACTTGCGCTCTCCCTCTGAGCACACCTGTGCCTTCCCCTTCCCGTATCCCTCCAGGCCTGCTACCTTTGCCTTTTTCTAAGTTCCAAGGGCCCTTCTTCTGCCTCTGTAACTCTGCCTCCTGAGCCTACATAGCCCAATTGGCTCACTTCTACTACCTCTGTAACTTTCTAAATAACCTTTCTTATAATTTGGGAAAAACAAACAAGATAAAATGACTGCATACTATATGATTCCAGCTATTTAACATTCTGGAAAAGGCAAAACTATGAAGACAGTGAAAAGATCAATGGTTTTCAGGGGCTAAGGATGACGGAGGGATGGATAGGTAGGGTACTGAGGATTTCTAGAACAGTAAAACTATTCTGTATGGTACTTTATTTTTTTTTAAATATTTTTTTTAATTGATTTTTTACCGAGAGGAAGAGAGAGGAATAGAGAGTTAGAAACATCCATGAGAATCATGGATCAGCTGCCTCTTGCACACCCCCTACTGGGGATGTGCTCACAACCAAGGTACATGCCCTTGACCAGAATAGAACCTGGGACCTTTCAGTCCGCAGGCCTATGCTTTATCCATTGAGTTAAACCGGTTTCAACTATATGGTACTTTAATAGTGGATTTTCTTGTCAAACTATCAAATGTACAATATCAAGAATGAACCCTAATATAAGCTATGGTCTTTGGGCGGTTATGTTGTGTCAATGTAGGTTCATATATCATAACTGATATACCATTGTGGTGCTGGATGTTGACAGTGGGGGAGGCTGTGCCTGTGTTGGGGAAGGGGAAACTGTACTTTCTGCTCAATTTTGCTACGAACCCAAAATCCTCTAAAAAGGTATTAAAATAGTGCTTGCAAGTTACACAAAAACAGTACTGTCCAAACTCCTCATACTTATAGAAATAAAACTCTCAATGTTTCTAATACTTTCTAGTGTACTAAAAATAGTTTTGCTACTTATTTCACTTGCTTATACATTTAGAACCAATGTTTTTAATGTGTTCACAAAATTTTTTAAACGTCATGAAACCATCACTTTCCCAATGACTAAGATTTTGCAAATTTCAACTTGATGTCATTTTTACAGCTCCATACTATCATGGAAAAGCAAGAAGTCTATGTATGTGTATATGTATATATATATGTATATATATATATAAATTCTGTGTGTGTATATAATATATATATATATATTATATACACACACACACAAAATTGTTGAAATAGAAGCCTTCCAAAACTATATTTAATATGATTGCTCCTAACATCCTTTTTTAACCATGTACTATTGGAACATAAAAATGGGGTTCAACTTACAGATCAATATTAATATTGGGTTACATTTCAGTATGTCACGTTGCACAGAAACAAACTAATGAAATACATGGTCTACACTTGAAATACAGGGCAGCAGAAGGAAATGTAGCTGAGCAGTCACAGGGACAGGAAGAAAGGAACAGGAAAGCCTAGCTTAACATACTCTTAAGGGGCTTCTTCCCTCCCAGCAATGTCCCATGAAATGGGGGAATGTTAAATGCTTTATACATTACTAAGGACTACACATGAAAACAAAATGTATATTCTTATACAGTCAATGGCTGTAATAAATGTTAATAGGTTATTGGCGAATCTCATTGCAAAGTACTCATGTCATCAGGCAGTTTAAATAAAGTATATTTTACAAAATAATTTTACATAATAGTCTAGATAATACAGGCAATAACTCCTCCTCCCTCTAATAAATGTTCATTTTCCTGCATGTGATTTCATTCTGATAAGCTTTAATAAAAAATAAATTTCATAAAAAACAATGCTATCTAAAATTATAAAAATTCAAAATAAATGATCAGTCCCACTTGTTTACATATTCAGTCAATTCAAATAAATGAATCACAGCAGGTTTAGGAAGAATTTCATCACAATCATAGCATCACCTTAACCTTTCAGGTCATTTTTTTTTGCTGAAGGACAATACATTCTATTATCCCATCTGCAACCCAAAGTCAATGTCTCCTCAATGAGCAAGTGAGAGAATATGAATGATTCAGAGCAGAAATTGAATTGCATATTATAATCAGAAGAAAAAAAAAACGTACTTTGTTAAGTGTTTAAAAAAATCAATTTAATTTCATGAGCTATTTAAGGGTCTCACTTAAAGTCACACAAATAGTAATCAAATCTCTTGATAACTCCTATTTAACCAATATACAATAACACCAATAACTGGGAACAATAATGTTTCAATATCAGTACCTTCTGGCATCAATTTAAGACTAGAGGCATCGGGAATATAATTGTGAAAACATATAAAGTGTAGGTCTTTCCATCTTTGCATGACATACTGAAAAAGGCTGCTTCAGTTGGTCAAGATATTACTCCAAATAACCATGGCCTCATATATTCCCTTTACTAATTAATGGGTTGTATTTACTGACATCAGCCAAATGAAGGCACTCATGAGAACAGATCCCTACATAATAAATTCCAATTTATTAAGAAACAGACAATATAAAGCACATAATATGACCTAATTTGTGCTCAATATTTTTATTTTTAAGGTTAAAGATAGGGTTAAAAACTATTAAAAAGGGTGTGAATGCAACTTAAGATCACAAATATTTTTATTAAGCCCCAGACATAATAAAGCATTACAGGGAAAACCCAACTACATTTCATTGAAGATAAAAATATGGTTTTAACAACAACAAAAGGAATAGCCTATCAATGAAGATACATTAATACAAAAACGTTATGAGAAATCTATTGTAATATTTTAAAAGATAATATTCTTAAAAAATTGACAAAGTAATTTGGGTACTGTGACGCAGGAGGAGACAGAAATATTTTCCCGATTCCTTTTAGTCCCCATACTAAAATAAACGGAATATCTTTAATATACCATCAAGATTGGGTAAGTGTACTGAGCCATGAGTTTTCAGAGTCCACAATATCTGAAGAATCACTATCAGAGTTTCATTAGCCTTCTAATTACAGAGGACTGTATTACCCTAGCATCTTAGCAAGTCAGGATGCCTGGAAAGTATAATCTCCAATTAACAAATCTTTGATTTATAAATAACTTTATTTATAATGGTATTTACATAATAAAAACAAAACACATGAAACTCACAAGTTATACAAAAAAATTTATGTGTAATAAAAACAGCAATATAGACTGACAGGCAAAATTTTAAAGAAAGACTTAATAAAGAGTTAAATATCAAGTAGACAACTTTACTTCTAAGTTTCACTTTGTCACCCACACTGAATTGGAATTGAAAAATGGCTCTCTCTTCAGGAGGTCCTGTACTGGAATTTCTGGAACCTGGTAAACTATATTTTGATAAGAAGGTAAAGGTAATGACCTGTTTCCATGCAGTACCTAATGCTTCCTTAACATGAAGTCACATTCAGTCTGCTTTGAAGTGAAATAGCCTGTTAATCTGTTCTGCCAGGCTAGAAAAAAACATCACCAACATTTTGCTGATGTGTGAAGATGTGGCAGAATAACTACTACTTAGAGAGTAAAAAGAACTGGAGCAGAAATGACTGGGCAACAGTTTCAAGAGAAGCAAAAGACTGGAGAGGGAAATCAATGAAAACATGCACAGGAATGGGCAGGGTAATATACGCACAATTAACGCAGTTGGGAAATGAACAGAAGGAATTAATTATTCCATGGAGCAAGATAAGGGCTTCTTTAGAGACTATTCGCTGGAAAACAACTTAGTGCCTAGCCAAATGTATCTGTCTTAACAGAAGTAGTTGGGAGGACCTGGGGCGTCAGTATATGGAATGCCACCTTTAAATTCAGGTTGAGTTCTTGTTGACAGTGGTGAACATCTGCTTCAAATAGCAATAAAATGAAAGCTATATAATCTATACAGCTGTATTTTTTAAACCTAACGTAATAAAAAAGAACTTCAAATAAGACAAGCAAAAACAAGACATAAGCATTGTCAAATAAGGCACATGTAAAAATCTACACACATTATCCAGTGAAAGACAATATATATATATTTGGAGGTAGAAATAATTACAAAAATACTGACATTTCTAAAGCATTAGCATATTTGTTACAAACAATCACCAACTAATCCCCATTCAGAAAACTGTTTTGTAAAATGATTATTCAACATCTTTAGGACTATATATTTGTGGCTTTTATTGAAACTTTATAAGTGAGCTTCGAGAGAATTCAGCTAGTGGCAAAAAAGTTGTCCATACTATGAGAAATGTAATATGGAAATTATAAAAAGTTACAAATGTTCATAAACCCCATGGTCATCATAATGTAAATGTCCTTGAATGCACCAAGTTGATATTTCCTCATCAATCAGGAATTCACAATTCTTATTTCATAGGCCCATTGACGTTTTAAGTAATGTGGCTATATCTGCGGGCATGCTCCCTTCGTCTCCTGTAGGTTAGAAAGTGGCATTAAGAGTTTCATAAAAATACTTTTTAATATTTCATAAAATATATTCTCTCTCTCCAATTTTTGCTATTCTGGTGAATTCCTAATCATCTTTCAAGGCCCCGTTTGCTTTAGTGGAATTTTCTGTTAAAATATTTCCAAATATGTCTTGATGGTGTGGCTCAGTGATTGAGTGTCCACCCATAAACCAGGACACAGATTCTATGTCAGGGCACATCATCAATGTTTCCATCTCTCCCTCTCTCTCCATTTCCTTTCCGCTCTCTGAAAATAATAAAAACGTATTTTAAAAATCTCTTCGAATTTCTCTGTACATTAGAGCTGCTTCCTGTGCTCATGCTCCTATTGACAGTATGGCATCACAGACTATGTTGCTGATTTGATATCCTATCTAATAAAAAAGTAATATATGCAATATGCAAATTAACAATCACTCTACTACACACACAAGCCACGTCCACAAGCCAATCAGGAGTATGCAAATTAACTCAATCAAGATGGCTGCAGCCATGGAAAGAGCAGGAAGCTTGGGTTTCCCTGGTAATGGAGGAAGCCAAGCTTTCCGCACACCCTTGCTGGCCTAAGCCTCTACTCAAGGCTACAAAGATTCAATTATAGAAGATAAATAAATCCCAGATACCGGGGCTTCCACTTGGGTCGCCAGCGGGTGTGTGTGTGTGTGTGTGTGTGTGTGTGTGTGTGGCCAGCCTGCAAACCACCTCAGGCTCCCACTAGCTGCCCCTCAGAAACCCCCACCCTGATCTGGGATGCTCTTCAGGGTAAACCAGCTGGCCCCACCATGCACCATGCCTCTATCCTATCAAATAAAAGAGTAATATGCAGATAGAGCATCACTCCAACACACAAGATGGCTGCCACCATGTAGACACAAGATGGCCACCACAGGATGACCCATATAGGGCAGTTGGGAGGGACCAGGCCTGCAAGGGAGAACAGTTGGGGGTGATCAAGCCTGCAAGGGAGAGCAGATGGGGATGACCAGGTCGGCAGAGAAGGAAAGTTGGGGGCAGCTAGACCAATAGGAATGGACAGTTGTGGGGGGAGGGATGACCAGGCCTGCAGGGGAGGGCAGTTAGGGGCAAAGAGACGACAGGAAAGCAGTGAGGCATCAATCTGATGGCAGGGGAGTGGTTAGGGGTGATCAGGCTGGCAGCAGAAGCAGTCAGGGGCAATCAGGAAGGCAGGCATGTGAGCAGTTGGGAGCCAGCAGTCCTGGATTGAGAGGGAACCCAGATTAGAAAGGGTGCAGGCTGGGCTGAGGGACACCCCCCGCCTGTATGGTGATATTAGAGGCCCGGTGCATGCCTCTAGTATTACCATAATACATCTCAGTGTAGTAACTTGATATTTTATTAAAGCAGTAGATTAATAAGATAAACCATTATCATAATAAAGCATTTTAACTAAGCCAGAATTTATTCTCAGCAGTGAAACAGTCTAAAAAAATTCTAGTTTGTGCTAGAAAGGAGACAACAATCCAAATATAATGATCCCAGCATGGGACTGGACCTCAACAAGCAGTCAGACATTCCTCTCACAATCCAGGACAGCTAGCTTCCAACTGCTAGCCTGCCTGCCAGCCTGATCACCCCCTAACCACTTCCCTGCCGCCTAATTGATGCCTAACTGCTCCCCTGTCACCTGTTTGCCCCCAACTTCTCTCCTATGCTGGCTTGATCACCCCCAACTACCCTCCCCTGCTGGCCATCTTGTGTCCACATAAGAGCAGGATCTTTGCCGAAACCGGTTTGGCTCAGCGGTAGAGTGTCAGTCTGCGAACTGAAGGGTCCCAGGTTCGATTCCCGCCAAGGGCATGTACGTTGGTTGCAGGCGCATCCCCAGTTGGGGGTGTGCAGGAGGCAGCTGGTCAATGTTTCTCTCTCATCGACATTTCTAGCTCTCTCTCTCCCTCCCTTCCTCGCTGTAAAAAAATCAATAAAATATATTTTAAAAAAAAGAAAAAAAGAGCAGGATCTTTGACCACATGGGGGAAGCCATCTTGTGTATTGGAGTGAAGGTCAATCTGCATATTACTCTTTTATTAAGTAGGACAGAGGCCTGGAGCATGGGTGGGGACCAGCTAGTTTGCCCTGAAGGGTGTCCCAGATCAGGGTGGGGCTCCCTTGGTGTGTGGGGCGGCCTGAGCGAAGGGCCTGTGGTGGTTTGCAGGCCGGCCACACCCCCCAGCGAACCAAACGGAGGCCTTGGTATCTGGGATATATTTACTTTTTACAATTGAAACTTTGTAGCCTGGAGTGGAGGATTAGGCCAGCAAGGACAGGTGGAAAGCTTGGCTTCTCCGTTGCCGGGGAAACACCTCCCTCCTGCTCTCTGTGGCTATAGCCATCTTGTTTGGGTTTATTTGCATACTCGCTCACATTGGCTGGTGGGTATGGCTTGTGGAGCGGATTGATGGTTAATTTGCATATTATTCTTTTTATTAGGTAGGATTATAGATACAATTTTAATTTATTTCTGGAATGTTTTGGTGTCAGAGATAAGGAATAGAATAGACAGAATTTTCCAAAATCAAAGTGTTTATTTACATCAATTCTGGCGAAATTATCTTAGTTATTGTTGTACTTTTGAAATGAGTTATCATTCTTTTCTCCTACACCATCCCTAAACTATATGCCAGTTAAGTACACCAGATCATCTTTGTTAACCTTTTGTATTGCTAATTTGTTGTATTTCCATATAAATAAATTACTGAAGTTTCTGCTTATAAACAACTTACCTTCATCTACTGTGGTCATATCTTGCTCTAGTTTCAATTTCTGTTGGTTAATTTTTAGCATAGACTCTTCAATCGTTCCTTGGCTTATTAATTTTATAACTAGTACTTCTCTAAATAATAAAAGATATGTCCATTGGTTAATAAATATAAAATGTTTAGATACATATGAACTATTATATTTAAATCAATTTAGAATTCTATAAAAATATTTTTTAAAATGTGTAACAAATATGTACATAACTTTGAATTTCTTTATTCAAACTACTTCAAATGGACGCTTTCTGAGCATGTCACTTTCAAACATCCTTTCTTACTACTAACCCAAGAGAAGCGAGAAATAATTTGTACTTTAAGTAGTATTGGGTTTACAACAAACAGTTCTGGTTCAGATAGGTAATACCATTTTAAAAAGGAACATGCTTTAATTATTAGATTCTAAGAAATAATTACATGGGAGGTTTGAACCCCACAATAGGTACTGATCCCTATTTGGTTTATAAATGAATATATCAAAATGTCTTGGAAATAGTGTCAAATACTCCACAAAGAAAACATTGTCTGCTGTTTATATGTGAAAGTAGAGTTAAAGTGTAGGTATTTTTTCACCTCTACATATGGTCCTATGACCAATGTCAATATTAACATCACCTAAAATATCTACAACTCAAAGAATCTATTTCCTAAAAGTAATTGGGTAGCAAAAGTATATATATTACCAAGTCTATCTGATTCTTAAATGGTCTAACAAGCAAGTATTTTTAATTATAAATCATTTCAAAGGCACTGGATCATTGATAATATCACCTTTTCATTACGTACAGAACTATTTGGGTTGGGGTGGGAGGCTATTTTGTTTTAAAAACTAGAAATTGAATAGGTTATACAGTGAAGTTCATATTCAACACTGCTGCTATAAAATACATCAGCAGCCATGCTTTGATAAAAAATATAAAAACTTAGTCAGGACAGCTGACAGACTATATTCTCATAGTCCATACACAATAAACTTGCATTTTATTAAAAAATAAATTTCAACTGAAAACACTTACTTTGTCTGGCCTACTCTATGGCATCTATCTTCTGCTTGTTTATCATTGTAAGGGTTACAGTCAATATCGTGAAGTATAACAACATTTGCTGAAGTCAGGTTTATTCCTAAGCCACCAGCTTTTGTTGACAGCAGAAATACAAAGATATCCATATCGGTATTATACTCATCAATTAAATGAATCCTGTAGGATAAATATATTAGGTTATATCTCACACAAAGGTATAAAATTGAAATGAAAACAATCACATCACATGAAAAATAATCTAGAAGATATAAATGCATGGTTTTTGTATTATAGTTACGTTACCAGCAACTATATTATTGAAAGATCTTCCCAATTCATCAACTTATTTTCTATACCATTTATCTCTACTAATTCTTACTTAATTCAACTATTCAGATTTGATTACTTCCTGAAGGACTATTTTGTTCTTTGATTAATGGTTCTGGCTTCTCTGAATTCTACATATGGCTTTTCAATCTTTAACCTTCTCCAAAGTCTGTAAACTACTACTGTGTTTCCCCGAAAATAAGACACCCTCCAAAATTAAGACCTACTTACAGGTTTCCTTCTGAGTGAAATATAAGGCATCCCCCCAAAAATAAGGCCCCCCTAGGCTCTGTCTCAGAATGCTATTGCTAAATATGAGAGATTTGGTTCACTGATTCTGAAAGAAATGGAGTTACAAGAAATTCACCAGGAAATTCAGGAATTGGATTGTTATGATGATGTTCCAGAAGATGATGACATGATTGTCATTGAATAAATGAGTAAATTCTTGATACTGTAGGATTCAGTTTGTCTGGTTTGACAACTACCGTACTGTATACAGGTAATAAATTTCCTTTATTTTCATTTAACAATAAATGTGTACCATATTCTTCTTCATGGAAAAATAAGACATCCCCTGAAAATAAGACCTAGCAAATCTTTGGGAGCAAAAATTAATATAAGATACTGTCTTATTTCCAGGGAAACAGGGTACTAGTAGACAATGTAAGTATGAACTGAATCTCAAGATCAAGCTGTACTGGTGTAATCTCTTTTAGCATGACTTCCTTACTGTAATGTGGGGAGGAGGGGAAGAAAGGAAGAGGGGGAGGGAATTCATTCTGGCTGATACAAAATAAATCAAGATATAATGCAGTTAAACACTCTAGAAAAAAACATTCCTTTTTTGAAGATAATCATTTTTAACCTTTGGCAACTAAACATAACTTACTCAATTTTTCTTAAAATATGAAAGGCCAAGATTTTAAAACAATCTTAGTTTACAGATGCTTTAGACTTTGAATGATTTTTAAAGATAAAAACACTATAAAACTGTATACTTTCATGCAATTCAGACCCCCCCCAAAAAAAAGAATAAAAAAAGAGAAATGTTCCTAATCTTCAGGTAATAACTGGAAGTAACTACATATAAGACTCAAAGCAGCCGGGACCGGTTTGGCTCAGTGGATAGAGCGTCGGCTTGGGGACTGAAGGGTCCCGGGTTCGATTCCGGGCAAGGGCATGTACCTTGGTTGCGGGCACATCCCCAGTGGGGGGGGTGTAGGGGGCAGCTGATCGATGATTCTCTCTCATTGATGTTTCTAACTCTCTATCCCTCTCTCTTCCTCTCTGTGAAAAATCAATAAAAAATATTAAAAAAAAAAAAAAAAGACTCAAAGCAATACAATTCTATCAAGTGTTCTAGACATTTAAAATGCAAATATTTAATCTAATTTGAGGGTAAGGTGGATAGAAATTTTAGAAGGTAAAGTATACCAACCTTTCAGAAATCTGAGTCTTTCCATCTAATCTGAGGTACCTATACTGATGATGTTTTAAAAGAGCCTCTAAAATATCCAGCATCATGGTAAATTGGCTAAATAATACAACTCTATCACCCTGTGAAAATACATATATGTATTAAATACATGGGAAGAAAAATATAAATATCTAATGTTCAACTGCTTCTTTAATAAAAATCAAGTAATCATAACTAAGGTAAAATTCTTATTTTAGATTGTATATAAATTAATTTCTAAACTTAAGAACTAAATTCAATTTTCAGTTTTGATTTATAAGGACAATAAGTGGGAATAGCTACAAAGTACTATTTGGATTGTGATCTTACAAATTTAAGCTATTTCACATATAAACTGTAGTATTACTTAACCATTTAACATAGTATCAATCATACAGATTGAGTGTTACGTATAAAATAATGACAAGATTCTTTTTTAAAAAAAACACCAATATAGACATGTTCTAATAACTTCTATTTTTCTTTTAGAGGTTCGATCGAGGAAAAGTAATCAGGAAAATATACTCCCATATACAGTGGAAATTCCTTATCTAAAGGGAATAATACATTTCAAGATCCATGATAGATGCCTGAAACCAGGGATAGTATCAAACCCTACATATACTGTTTTTCCCTCTACATACATACTTTCTCACTTAAAGGAAGCACTTTACAGATTGTCTTTGGCATATCCAAATTACTAGCATCACTACTCTTGCATTTTGGACCATTAATAAATAAATTAAGGGTTACCTGAACACAAGCACTGCATTACACAACCCTACTGATAACCAACAATAGATGTGATAACTGAGAGAACTACTGAGTAACTAATGGACTAGTGTACATAGTATAAATATGCTGGCATATACTGATTCATGTCCAGGCAAGACAGCACAATATCACATCACAAAACTTACAATAGTGTGCAATTTAAAACTTACGAATTGTTTATTTCTGGGATTTCTCCAATTAATATTTTTGGATCATGTTTGGCTTTTGGTGACTAAAACCACAAAAAGCAAAAGGGAAGATATGGGGGGAAACTATTGTATCTCCCCCAAATGCTCAAAACACTCATTTCTAAAAGACTGCAGAACAGACAACGACTAAAACTTTAAGAAAATCAAATCATGCCAGAATTGTCTTAAGAAGTTTAACTAATTGGGAAAACACAAAAGGAGTAGCATTCTTCTTTAATACCTTCTCTTTTAGTTCAGACAAAATGCGTGCCAAAACTCGGAATTTTCCAGAATCTAAAATCAAGTCCATGTCTAACTGGAAGTTATTAATGTGCCGATACTGTTTACAAAGTACATGTAATTCAAAGTCTGTCATAACTTCCATATCTTCAAAGATCAGGTCAGGGTTAGCTTCACAATGTGTAGGTTCCTCAAAGCAAAACATACAATACACATACTTCAAAATTAAGATAATTTATTGTTCATATCTGATAAAATATTTAAATCATAGAAATTTTAGGACCATAGTTGTAACAAAGAAAACTAATATTTTTTAGGTACAATAATGGGGGAAAGTTTCCATTATTTTAGAATTAACATAATGAAATATTTACAGATGAAATAAGATCTAGAATTTATTTCATAATAATCTTGGGGAAGGGACTAGATGGAACAACAGTAGTGATACCCTTGTGCAATGCTGGTGGGACTGCATAGTGGTTTAAATAACCATGTGTTTAAATAATCACAATAACACTATGGACAACAATATGGAGATATACCAAAAACTAAAAACAGATCTATCAAACAACTCAGTAATTCCACTTATGGCACTTATCCGAAGAAGACAAAAACACCAATTTGAAAAGATATATGCATTTCTATGTTCAGTGCATTATTATTTACAATAGCTAAGATATGGAAGCAATCTAAGAGTCCATAGATGGATGAAGAAAATGTGATACATATGTACAATGAATATTACACAGCAATAAAAATTATGATATCTTGCAATTTGCAACAACAGGGTATTATGCTAAATGAAATCAGACAAAGATAAATACCATCTGGTATTACTTAGATGTAGAATGTAAAAAAACATACAAAAGAAAACAAATGAACAAACAAGAACAGAATCATAAAAATAGACCAAATGGGCATTGCCTGAGGGGAAGGGGAAGGGAGAATGGTTAAAAAAAAAAAGGGGGGGGGGGTTAAATATAGTCAGTAATCTTATATAATAAAGAGATAATATGCAAATAGTCATTATGACCTCATAATCCATCAACAGGAGGCTAGGTGGGCAGGGACTCGATGCAGCGTGTGTGACGTGGAGGTGAGGCCAGGTGGCTTCATACAGCGAGGCCTGGGGGTCCTGAGACTGAGCAGGGCGGAGGCAGGACCCCCAATGGATGGGCGGGGCCTACCTCTTTGGGGTGATCAATTGTGGTCTCCTGCACTGTGAGAGGGCACAGGCCTGGTGGGGTGATTCACCCCACCCCTCCCCCCACCGTCTGGAGTGCACGGATTTCGTGTACTAAGCCTCTAGTGATGTAATAAGTTTGTGGTAGCAAATTATAAACAGTATTAGTGAGTGATCACATTGTAAGATATTAAAATGTCAAATTACTATAAGGTACACTGGAAATTAAAATAACACGTAAATAGATAAAAAATAAACAGAGTAGTGTCATTCCAGATAATAATTGCAGAAAACCTGTGAAGGTTATATGGGCAGACGATTTCATTATACAATTCTCTCTACTTTTACATGTTTGAAATTTCCATAGTAAGTTTAAAATAATAGTTTAAAAAAAAAAAATCAAAACAAATGGCTGCTGCCCAGCCAGTGGAGGTCAGAGGTTGAGTAATGACTTATAAACCAGGAGGTCAGGGTTTGATACCAGAAGATCAAAGATAGATTCCCAGTTGGGTATATATCCAGGTTGCAGGCTCAATGACTAGTGTGGAGTATTCAGAAGGCAGCCAATCAATGATTCTCTCATTGTTGATATTTCTAACTCTCTCCCTCTCCTTCTTTGAAATCAATAAAAATATATATTTTTTAAAATAAAAAGCAATATATATATATATATATATATATATATATATGTAAAATTAAATAAAAAGCAAATTTTTTTTTTAAAAAGCTTTTAACAGGAGAAATATGGTAGGTGCTAAAGAAGAATGAGGTAAAAAATAAAGAGTAATGGCTAAAACTATATACAAAATAAAGGATAAAATGAAAAAAAAAATAGAGAAAAATTACTCATTATGTAGGCCACAAAATCTGAGAAATCTTTTGGTAAAAAATAAATAAGTATATTATGAAGACTAGATCAAGAATTGGCAAACTTTTTCTGCAAAGGGCCAGACAGTAAATATTTTAGATTTTGTAGGCTAAATGATCTGTTTGGCAAACATTCAACTCTGCCCTTTTATTGAGAAAGCAGTCACAGACAACACCAAAACAAAGGCTGTGGCTGTTCGAATAAAACTTTATTTATAAAAATAGACACTGCCTTATTTGACCCTTTGGGGATAGTTGGCAGATTCCTGGTCAGTCCTTGACTTTTATGACTCCCAAATTATCTTGAACTTTGTCTTAAAACATATTTGTTTTTCTTAAATGTGGTTAAAGGGTTAATATGCTTATTAGGTTCAATGGTCTAATTTTTAGCCTAACAATTTAACCTCATGTTTAACAGTGGTAATAAAGCTTAGTGTTAGCATAAGATGGAATCTTTACCTTTAGCATAAGCTGGGACATTTCCTTGAGTTTTTCAGCTGTGTAATATTGGCGATGTAATAAAGGATGATTGGCCATTTTTCTCAATTGCATCATGACATTGCACATTTCTGTGTTTTTTTCTGTGATCCAAAGAGACAGATTTTTTAAAAAATACAAAAAAACAAGCTGACAGCTGTTTGTTGAAATAAATATCAATGCAAACAAAGAGCTAAAATTATATCTCAATGCAAACAAAGAGCTAAAAAAGTGAGTGAAGCCCACTATGAGTAATCAAAATGCAGCTTAGGACAACATAATTTTTCACAAAAAATTATGAAAATCAGGTTATACCCAAGTTATTGATAGACTTTTTCAATTTGCTGAAAAGACCCAGGTAGAGTTTCTCCTGATTCTCCGACATAGGACACAGCTCAATCTGGTCCTTCTTGGGGGGCAGCTGCTTGAGAACCTGAGCGAGGAAACCAATTTAAGTAAAACAATCAGATAAAGACGAACACAGACCTTTAAAAATCAATCATAATAAAAAATATGCAGGTAAGAGTTACCTCTTCTTTTACTCTTCTGAGAATAAATGGTTTTATAATTTGTTTTGCATGTGCTATTCTCTCCTTTTCATATATACTTTGCTCATCTGCTGGTTTCTAAGTAAAATAAGAACATATCCTTTTAGAAATTATATTCATATAAATGATGACAATAACATTACACAACATGAAATTTTATTTGTTTTGCATAGAAACTCCATTTATTTAGATGGAACTTCACATTTTATATTATATACTTCTTAAAGCTCCATAAGTATTTTGAGATTTCATGATATGTAAATTATATATTCTCCTGAACTGTTCTAAGTTCACAATGTTTTCAGAAGTCATTAGCTGATGAGTTGTTACTGATTACCTAGAGAACATAATGAAAATGAGTGTGTGTGTGTGTGTGTGTGTGTGTGAGAGAGAGAGAGAGAGAGAGAGAGAAAGAGAGAGAGAAAGGGGGTGGAAAAAGGTAAGATGAAGGGTATGAGAGAGGTAAAACACTTGTATTTAATTGTGGAAAACGACCCTAAGAGAAAACTAGTACAGGTGATGCGAATCATGTGATCTTAAAAAAATGGGTATAGTTATTAGTCAAAACTGGTTAATTTTGAAAAATTAAAGAAGTGTGGAATTTTATTCTAAAATGTAAAGGTATCCTTCATATCCTATGAACTGCTAGGTCATCAAGTGAGAAAAAATTCATCAGTGAAAGTTAAAAAGGCAGTTAATTGCAGCAGAAGACTATCATAGAAAAGGCATGCAAAATATGTTATGACAGAAGAATTAAGAATCTATATTAACATTGCTATATGGAAGAATTTAGGAGTTTTTGAACTGTATTGTGCTTTTTCTAAGCAAACAGGAGAGAAAATTAACAAGATTTTCATCTAAACAGATTTCTTTATTGTAACTTTTAGAAACTGTTACTATTGTATTTACGAACTTTTATTTCAAAACGTATGTCGCAGGATATGAATTTTCCATCTTTGCCTACTTCTAAAGGTCAGCCATTTAAAAAATGCCAATTTTCCCTGACCAAAATTTTAATAAAGAAAAGGCAATGATCAAAATTTTTCCCAAATATTATACATCAGAGCCTTCCACTATTTTAGAATTGTTATTCTTCAGAAAATTAGCATGATAAAAACCAAAACTTTTAGACACAGATTACAGAAGTCACCAATTTATTTCTCAGTGGGTTTTGCTGATTTCTCAACTTATCCAAGAATAGGAATATTGACCATTTAAATTTCAAAATGAAAACAAGAAAAAAGACAAAATAGAATAACCTAGGTAAAACACAAAGTAACATATTTGGGAGAAAATATGAATTTATGCTTACTGTCTTAGAAGAAAACATCCTTCGTATTTCACTTGTGCTACTACTAAACATGTGTGGCATAACAAAATTCAACAGCGACATGAGTTCTAATAGATTATTCTGCACAGGTGTGCCTGTGAGCAGTAAACGGTTATTTGCCTGTGAATGAAGGTAATTAAGATTAGTTGGTTTTTAAAATTATAGACACATCCTTATTGTCTACCCTCCTCAGTGGTGGTGGGAGGGGATTAATACCATTATTAATAATGTAACTTTCTGAAATGAAAGATTAGTAATTTAAAAAATTATCAGCTATTGTAATTTAAGGCAGAATGTATAAAACTAATGGTTTCACTTTTTAAGTAGGTAACTTGCATCCTTAGATCACTTTACGAGGTAATGAAAATAGACTATATTTAATATCACACAGGACAGAGATGGTAAATAGAGGTTCATGAACTATGAATGGTTTTTACAATTTTAAAGGGTTGTTAAAAAAAAAAAAAAAAAAAAACACCAAAAAACAACAAAAGAACAACAGAGGCTAAATAATCCACAAAGTACTAAATATTTCCTTTTTGGCCCTTTACAGAAAAAGTTTGCTGACCCCTGATATAAAATACTATGTACATTAAAATACATAATATGTAATGTTATCGTAATTGGAAAAAGTCACAAACACTCTCTTACATTAATGGTCATAAGGTGCTGGTAGCGAATAGAGCCCATATTCTTCAGCATATGGCCCTCATCAAAAATTGCGTAATTAAGTTTTAGTCGTCGAAAGAGACTACGGTCATCAGAACTGCTGATTGCACAATTATACCTGTCACCAAAAGAAGAGAGAAATCTCTAGGGTTATACCTTTATGAGCCTGGACACTAGTAAGATTTATTGCTTTGTACAATTATTTTTATTTATACACTTTTAATCACTGGTATCTAAAAGATACCACTAGCTGGTGCTCAAATAAATACTAATGTATCATAAATTATCCAATAATTATTGATGTACACGTAACCAAGTTTAAAATTGGCCAGGCCAGTGTGACTCAGTGACTGAGTGTTGACCTATAGACCGGGAGGTCGAGTTTCAATTTCTGTTCAGGCACAAGCCTTGGTTGCAGGCACAATCCTCAGTGAAGGGTGTGCAGAAGGCAGCAGATCAGCTGAAACCAGTTTGGCTCAGTGGATAAAGCGTCAGCCTGCGGACTGAAAGGTCCCACGTTCGATTCCAGTCAAGCGCATGTACCTTGGCTGCGGGCACATCCCCTGTGAGGGATGTGCAAGAGGCAGCTGATTGATGATTCTCTCTCATCGATGTTTCTAACTCTCTATCCCTCTCTCTTCCTTTCTGTAAAAAAATCAATATATTAAAAAAAAAAAAAAAGAAGGCAGCAGATCAATGATTCTCTCTCATCACTGAAGTTCCTATCTTTCTCTCCTTCTCTGAAATTAATAACAAACAAATTAAAAAGCCTCCAAAGGTAGCTATAAGAAAATTTAAATGTTATACTGTAATCAGACAACTTCTGCATACCTAGGAAGAGGCCAATTTTGGTTTAATGTATATGTAATCTGCACTTGTTGTACACTTCATTAATTGTTATATTTTAAAAATCAGCAGAAAAAAGGACATTAAGATATTTCTGTTAAGAACATACTACTATATTAAACTAGCACAGTAGATTCAAGAAATAACAGTTAATAGCAACTACAGTATATAAAAATATTTTGAATGAATTATTACTATTATTTTTAAAAATATATTTTATTTATTTTTTACAGAGAGGAAGAGTTAGAAACATCGATGAGAGAGAATCATCTATCAGTTGCCTCTTGCACATCCCCTACTGGGGATGTGCCCGCAACCAAGGTACATGCCCTTGACTGGAATCAAACGTGGGACCCTTGAGTCTGTAGGCCGACGCAATATCCACTGAGCCAAACTGGGTTTTGGCTTGAATTAATTATTTTAATCATGGCCTTCTTAAAATACATAGTTAATATGACAGCATTAAATTTTCTACTAGATGTTTATGCCAATTAGCTACTAATGATTAACTTATCTAATTATATTTTTCATCCTTATTTTCTAACTCAAAATTTTCACTGAGATTTCATTGCATTTATTATTAATACTTGCAAGATAGAAATATTATAAATTATTTTGGTCGAATATCGTAAATGTTACTTTACTATTATTTTTTAAAGAAATGCTTTTTATTTTTAAAATTTTATTTAAGTACTAGAGGCCTGGTACCTGAAATTTGTGCACCGGGGGAGGGGGTGTGTCCCTTAGCCAGGCTGCACCCTCTCCAATCTGGGACCCCTCGATTAATGTCCAACTGCCTTTTTAGGACATCCCAGTGTGGGATCAGGCCTACATGGGCAGTCGGACATTTCTCTCACAATCCAGGACTGCTGGCTCCCAACTGCTCACCTGCCTGCCATCCTGATTAGCCGTAACTGCTTCTGCCTGACCGACTGATTAGCCCCAACCACTCCCCTGCCAGCCTGATTGATGCCTAACTGCTCTTCTGCTGGCCTGATTGGCACTAACTGCCCTCCCCTGGAGGACTAGTCGCACCTAACTACCCTTCCCTGCTGGCCCAGTTACCCTCACCTGCCCTCCCCTGCTGGCCCACTTGTGGTGGTCATCTTGTGTCCACATGGAGGCAGCCATCTTTGACCACATGGGATGGCCATCTTGTGTTGGAATGATAGTCAATTTGCATATTACTCTTATTAAATAGGATGAAATTTGTGCACGGTGAGGGAGGGTCCTTCAGCTCAGCCTGCACTGTCTCCAATCTGGGTTACCTCTCACAATCCAGTACTGCTGGTTCCCAACTACTCGCCTGCCTGCCTGATCAACCTCTAACTGCTCCCCTGCCAGCCTGATTGATGCTTATCTGCTCCCCTACTGGCCCAATTGCCCTTAACTGCCCTCCCTGCCAGCCTGGTCACCCCTAACTGCCCTTTCCTGCCGGCCTGGTTACCCTTAACTGCCCTCCCCTACAGGCTTGGTTCCCCCTAACTACACTCCCCTGCCGGTCCAATCACCCCTAATGGCTCTCCTTTGCCAGCCTGATCCCCCCCACCACCACCTGCCCTTCCCTGCAGGCCTGATGCCTCCAAAATGCCCTCTGCTGCAGGCCTGGTACTCCCCAACTAACCTCCCCAGAAGGCTTGGTCACCTCCAACTGCCTTCTCCTGCTGGCCAACTTATGGTGGCCATCTTGTGTGTTAGAGTGACAGTCAATTTGTATATTATCCTTTTATTAGATAAGATTGTTGGTATACAATACTATGTTAGTTTCAGGTGTATAATATTTTCATATCTTACAATGTGATTACCTGCTAATTTTAATAATCATGTCACTATACAAACTAATCACATTAATAACTATATTTCCCTTCACCTTTTTTACCTATCTCCTTAAATATCTCTTGACAACAATCCCTCTGCTGTTTTTATGAGTCTGTTTTCATGGGTTTTTAAAAATTACACACATATGTGAAACCATATGGTATTTGTCATTCTCGATTTGATCTATTCACTTGGCGTTGACACTCTTTAGATCTATACATGTTGTTGCACAAAGCAAGGTTTCATTTTTTTTAAATTTTCACCCAAGGATATTTTTTCCATTTATTTCTAGAGAGTGGGAGGGAGAAAGGGGAGAGAAACATCTCCATGAGAAACACCAATGTGAAAGATACATCAATTGTTTGCCTTCCTTACGAGCCCCAAGTGGGGCTGGGGAACCTGTAACTGCCTGGGAATTGATCTGCAGTCCTTCAGTCCAATGGCAGTTGTTTTAACTACTGATCAAACCAGCCAGGGCAGAATTCATTCTTTTTTATTGCTGTGTGATATTTCATTTTACATGTACACATATACCACGTCTCCTTTATCCATTTATATATGGGTAGACATGTATAGGTTGCTTCCAAATCTTGGCTATTAATAAATGATGCATATTATCTTCTCAAATTAGTGTTTTTATTCTCTTTGGATGATAACAGCAGTGGAATTGATGGGTTATAGAGAAGATCTAATTTTTTAAGGAATCTCCAGTCTGTTTCTATAGTGACTACACCAATTTGCAGTCCCACCAATAGTGTATAAGGATTCCCTTTTCTCCAAACCCTTGCCAAACACAGTTGATTGTTGACTTTCATTTTAACTTGTGAGATAGTATCTCACTGTGGTTTTAATTTGCATTTCCATAATTGATTAGTGATGTTGAAAATCTTTTTATGTCCTTTGTTCATTTCTTGTCATTGAGTTGTATGAGTTTAAAAGTTACTTTAACTTACAGAATATTATAACAGCACACTTGCAATCAAGTAGACAAAATCTTTTTATAACCAGCCAACCAAACAACTAATATACTACCGTGTTTCCCGAAAATAAGACATCCTCCAAAAATAAGACCTACTTACAGGTTTCCTCTGAGTGAAATATAAGGCATTCCCCCCTTATATAAAAATAAGGCCCCCGTAGGCTCTGTCTCAGAATGCTATTGCTAAATATGAGAGATTTGGTCCACCGATTCTGAAAGAAATGGAGTCACAAGAAATTCACCAGGAAATTCAGGAATTGGATTGTTATGATGATATTCCAGAAGATGATGACATGATGGTCATTGAAGAAATGAGTAAATTCTTGATACTGTAGGATTCACAGTGGTTTGTGTTGACAACTACTGTACTACCATACCGTATACAAGTAATAAATTTCCTTTATTTTTATTTAACAATAAATGTGTACCGTATTCTTCTTCATGGAAAAATAAGACATCCTCTGAAAATAAGACCTAGCGCATCTTTGGGAGCAAAAATTAATATAAGACACTGTCTTATTTTTGGGTAAACAGGGTAGCAAAAAACTGCTATCTTGCTTTTATACACCAAACTGAAAAAATGCCTGATCCTCATTGTAAGTAATTCCATTATTTTAATTGCACAATTCTTAGCATAAACTTTCCTTCATATTAATAATATTTTTTTTTAAACTTAGAAGCTACACAAAATTTTTTTCAAAAAAGCTTTTTTCTCAATACTTACGTGGTCACAATTACATTGTATTCTTCATATTTACTATGAATGTTATATCTTATCTGTTTACGTTCTTCTTGAGAACCTAGAATTTAAAACAACATGCATTCTGATTGTACTTACTGTACTTTACTGTATGCTAAAATATTAAAAAATTTTAAAGAAAAGCAAAATGACATATTCTTACCATAGTAACAGAGCACCTTCAAACTGGGGCACCATAAATTAACTTCCCTTAACCAGTTATCTATGAAATAAGAGATATTACTTGCATCTGTTACAACAGGATATGTGTATGAAATAAAATTAACACTATAGTTTGACAAATTTTACCCAGAAATTATTTTATAAAGTAATACAAGGTGATTTTTTTTTTTTTAAATTACAGGACCTTCCCAATTTATTCCTGATGATTACAACTGTTTGAGGTGGCATCAAATAAAGGGCAGAGAACCAACCATTGTATTTATAGGTGGTTAATGATTTCCAATTTAAAGAAATATCAATTTTTGGTTACATTCATACATACATTCCCTTATTCTATTCTACATTCAATCAATTGAGCAAGAATGTAACACTAATTTGAATGCGGATAAACTGCATGGTTTCTGACACAATAAATGTTTAATTATAAATTTGAATGCATTTAATTTCTCTTATTCATCAGAACAATTTATAACTATTATGAAAACTAAGTTTTATCAAATGGTCTTTGATCTATAATAATTGACTTACATTTGAGGTTTTATTCTTTAAAATAGACTTCTAGTACACACACACACACACACCCACCACACTGAGACCACAGAAATAAATATTTATCTCCACAAACTAAGAAATCAAACATACACACTTTTCTTCTCCCTACGTTAAATAGGATATATTAAGCCCTAGCCTGTTTGACTCAGTGGATGGAGTGTTGGCCTTCAGACTAAAGGGTCCTGGGTTTGATTTTGGCCAGGGCACATGCCTGGGCTGTAGACTTGATCCCCCTGAGGGGGGCATGAAGAAGGCAGCCAATCAATGATTCTCATAATTAATGTTTCTACCTCTCTATCCCTCCTCCTTCCTGAAATCAATAAAATGTTTTAAAAAAATAGTATACAGTCAAGTATGGTTGTCCACAACACTACAAACCTATAGTTGATGCAGGAACAACGATCAAATGAGGACCTTTATTACCCTCCTGATAGAGGTATGCCAGAAATGCAATGGCTTGAATAGTTTTTCCTAGGCCCTAAAATTCAAAAGACAATATATGAAATGTAAAGATAAACAAACAAACAAACAAAAAAAACCAACTAAATACTGGAAAATACAAAAGAAAAAATATATTTCTGGTTTTGATTCTCTATATTGCAACACTACGAGAATTTCTATTCTCAATTCTCAGTTCATAATGAGATAAAAGAAACAAATATCCAAGGGAAATTGTAACTTAGTTTAATGTGCAAGATGTATCCTAACTCCTAGTTAATATATGACATACATTAATATGGAAGACCTTTATACTGCATATAAAAGATATAACTTTGGTTAACTATTTATATAAAGCAAACATTTAATACACACTGGATAAACTAGGGACAATATTCTAATGACTAATTAAATATATAACCTGTTACTCAACAATTCCACCCCTAAGACCATATTCAGGATATATGAGAGAATATTTCCACAGAAAGACCTGGGTAAGAACGTTCATACTAGTTTTATTATAAGAGCCAAACACTGGAAATATTAATGCCCATCAACATGAGAATAACCATGTTATAGCATACTTATACTATGGACTTCTATATGCCAATATAGTAGCTGATACATGTAAATACTCAAATGAATCTCAGTAGCTTTGTATCAAAAGAACCAGAAATAAGCAGTATAATACCACATGGTTCTACTTATATAAAGTTCAAAATCAGAAAAAATTGATATGGTGATAGGCGTCCAAATGGTGATGGTAATAAAGGAACTTTCTGAGATGATTAAAATGTTGATCTGGGAGGTGATCACACAGGAGTACATATATGTAAAAATTCACTAAGGTGAGCATTTGCATGTTTTATTGCAGCTAAATTACATATCAACTAGAGGCCTGATGCATGAAATTCATGCACAGGGGCGGGGGGGTGTGTGTGTCTCTCAGCCCAGTTTGTACCCTCTCTAATCTGGAACCCCTTGAGGGATGTCCGACTGCCCATTTAGGCCCCAATCCTAGCAGTCAGATATCCCTTTCACAATCCAGGACTGCTGGCTCCCAATTGCTTGCCTGCCTGCCTTCCTGATTGCCCCTAACCACTTCTGCCTGTCAGCCTGATCACCCCCTAATCACTCTCATGCCAGCCTGATTGATGTTTAACTGCTCCCCTGCCAGCCTGTTTGCCCCCTCTGCTAGCCTGGTTACCCCTAACTGTCCTCCCCTGCAGGGTTGATCACCTCCAACTGCCCTCCCTTGCAGGCCTGGTCCCTCCCAACTGCCCTCCTCTGCTGGCCATCTTGTCTCCACATGGGAGCAGGATCTTTGTCCACATGGGGGCAGCCATCTTGTGTGGTGGGAGTGATGGTCAATGTGATTTGGGAAAGTACAAAAACTCAGACATCTAGTAAAATAGTGGAAATGATGTTGATGAAGTTCTGATAAATGTATGAATTTATTTACTAACAAGGTCAGGTATTTATGATACATTTTAATTTTAAAGGCAGCTATGGAAAAGCGCATACAGTACAATCTTATTCATTAGTTCGATAATCAGACAATAAATCCATATTCATTTGGGGTTGGGGTAGGAAGGCGGCTATAGCTAAGACAAGCAATAGAAAACTAGGAGGGGTTCAAAGAGATATAGATACTGAAGTGAGGGAAGTAAACTACAGTTAAAGGGAAATTTTCAATTTTTTTTTAATGACAGCAAGGATGTCTTTTAATGAAAAATCCTAGAAATAGTTATTACTTACCATTTCATCTGCCAAAATGCCATTGAGTCCATGTTTATGTACCAATGCCAACCAATTCAAACCAACCTTCTGATAGGGTTTGAGTGATAAACTGATAAAGAGAGAGTTACCAAGTGTTATACATTTATACTTCCATTAGTTTTTCTCACATGAGATTTAGGTTTACAATGCACACAAAAACTGAAATACTAGATCTAATCTTACCTTTTAATTTACTGTTGTGAACTATATATATGTACTTAAAAAATCAATACAAAATATAATGTTTTTTTCTGACTTGTCAAATTTTATTCTGTATTTGTTGATTTATTTCTTCTGGCAATAAGAATTTAAAAAATATTCCCATATTTGATCAGAATGTAATGTCAACAAACTAAATAACTGCAATATTAACTATAATAACATTTCTAAGTTAATGTTTATGCTAAAAAATGGTATCGTACTGATTTGAATTTTAGTAATTAAGAAACTTAAAAGTATGAAGACAAAAATGCATAAGCATAATTTGTCTATCTCACTTATAAGCCTTTTCTCATTCTCATTAGGACAGCATACAACACATCTAACATGAAAACCTAGAACAAGGCTATACCCCCCATTCTCCAACTTTTTATCCTGTCCTCTTAATTTCCTATTACACACATTTTATCACATGGAAAAGCTAAGGACATAAGTATGGCAAAATATACAATTAATGGGTAGATTCTGAAATCAAGATACCACTACTAGAAAAGGTAAAAGACATAGGATAGAATGATAGCATTCTTAAATCAGAATCTATGTTTCAACAGTGGGATTACATCCATAAAGCATTTTTTATTTGAAAAAAATTAAAAGTATATGCAGGGGGGAAATCAGCAGTATTGCTAAAATCTTTATAGTTCATTTTAAAGTTCATTACTTTTTGGACAAAACATTTTTCTATGCTGCTCACTACAAAAGTAATAATAAATACAACATATCATGGATATTTTAACTTCCAGATCCAAATGAATTCTTTCTACTACAGTAATGATGAAAATTAGTTCCAGTATTGGAATGTTCACAATATTTTAGACACTTTGCTATGGGCTTCACATGCATTATTACTTCATTTCATCTACATTATAAAGTAGGTGCTATTATCATCATCTCTATTTCCCAGATGAGAAGTTCTCTGGAACTCAGAGAGGTAACTTGTCCAATGTCATGTAGCTAACAAAACCCATGTGTGCAGTGGCAGAGCCAGTATCCAATCTAGGACCAATCCAGTGCTCAGCTCCTAACCATTAAACAGCAAATATGAAAGAGTTTTCTCTCTCTCTCACTCTGAACCTCTCCCTGCCCCCCCCCCCCCCCCCCCGCCAACTCTACGGTCAAAACTGAGGCCCCTTGTTATTTCTGAATCATTCACAATGCTTAAATCATCCTTTACACATGCCATGAAAGTGATGAAACGTGATGAGGTCAGCACACTACTTCACTTATAAATGTATTCAAAGGTAAACATGCTACTCCAATGTAAATCACAAAGAGCCAAAAAATAATCTTATCAAATAAAAGTTACTGAATTTCTTCATTATCAACACATGCTGAGAAACAAGTCTATTAAAATATTTTTTACACTGGCACCAGTTTGGCTCAGTGGATAGAGCATTGGCCTGCGGTCTGAAGGGTTCCGGGTTCGATTCCGGTCAAGGGAATGTACGTTGGTTGCGGGCACATCCCCAGTGTGAGATGTGCAAGAGGCAGCTGGTCGATGATTCTCTCTCATCGACGTTTCTAACTCTCTATCCCTCTTTCTTCCTCTCTGTGAAAAATCAATAAAATATATTTAAAAAAAATATTTTTCACTACACATAGAACTTTAAAAAATGATGAGGAAATTTAAAAATATACTACATAAAATTTTTCATTTCAATAAAACTTTTTCATCCACAGTCACAATGCAGTTCTGATAGCTGTTTTGATTAGGACATTTTGAAATATTTGTTTTGAAAGTATAAGTATTGGGTGGTGGGCACACAGTGCAAAATACAGATCTTGTAACATAGAAACCCATATACCTATGTATTTGTGTGGTGCAAATATATTTGCTCCTTTGTTAAACTTATCTAAATTACAAGTAGGAGGATCCAAGATGGCAGCTGATGGGACAGTAGGATGCAAGAGAGTGTGTGAATGATAACGCAAAATGAGAGTGCATGGATGTGCAGGGAGTGTCTGTATTTGTGAGTGAGGGACAACTATATTCCAGAGACTGTTGGGGACTGGCGAAACAGGCTTCCCTGCCAGGTAGTCTCTACTACTGCTGAAATCTCTCCCAGTGCGGCCGGCTCTGTCACACAGACCATGCCATCTTAAAGGGGAGAGCGGCCGTGATAAGAAGCCCAGCCTTACCTTCAACAGGGGAGACATCAGATACCTCCCGGGACCCTACTACCAGCTGCCTTACAAACCCACAAACCCGGGACCCTACTACCAGCTGCCTTACAAACCCACAAACACCAAGACTCCAATCCAACCTCCCTGGCCACAGGAGCCTAAGAAGTTTGTCCAGAGGGAAACAAACTGGTGCCAAATACCAGGACTATCCCTGTGCCTTTCCACTACGCAGATAGAACACTTGAATCGAAAAACATCCACCTGTAATCAGAGAATTAAACACAGCTGGTGGGGCAATCTGTGGACAGAAAGGTCAGAGATCGCCTAGGACAGTAGTCAACAAACTGATTAGTCAACAGAGCCAAATATCAACAATGATTGAAAATTTCAATGACTCAAAAGCACAACGATTGAAATTTCTTTTGAGAGCCAAATTTTTAAACAAACTTCTAACGCCACTTCTTCAAAATAGACTCACCCAGGCCGTGGTATTTTGTGGAAGAGCCACACTCAAGAGGCCAAAGAGCTGCATGTGGCTCTCAAGCCACAGACCTAAGAGAGCTCTGCCTCCTCAGATTTAGTTGGGTGTTCGTTGTTTGCATTCACCTCAGTGTTTGTTGTTTGCATTTATTTTTATTAGATGATTTTTTTAAAGTTTTCTCCCCATATACATATATTTTCCCCCCTTCTTTTTCTTTTCTCTCATGTTTTTTCCTTTTCTCAATATAATTTCCCCCCCTCAATATCATTTTTGCACTCTTTTCTCTCCTTTAATTGTCTTTTGACTGGTGGTCAGTCACCTTTATTTGGAGTTATTGGTGTCTGGAATACATTTGTATTTGGGGCCCCACGCGTTATTTCTTGTCATGTTGCGCCTTTAAGTCAACACAGGAAAGAGAGAGCTACATAATCAGACACATTGAGAGGAGAGAACCTGGGAAGACAAAGAACCAGCCTGCACACAAAAGAAAAGGGGGAACCACTGGAAAAAGAAGAAAACAAAATGGAGGCAAGCAGTATGTCAGAGAAAGAATTCAGAGCAAAGGTTATAAGGATGTTGAAAAAGATGAAAGACAAATTCAATATGTGTAAGAAACAAAAGGAAATGAAGAACCAAAAAAAGAGAGAAAGAAAAATGACATTGCTGCAATAAAGAACACAGCAGAAAGAATCAATAGTAGACTAGAAGAAGCAGAGGACCACATCAGTGAGCTAGAAGAAAGATTACTCAAGCAGAACAGAAACTGGGGGGGGGAAAAAAAAAAAAAGAAAACCCTTAAAAACAAAAAAGGGGCCTAAGGGAATTTTGGGACAACATAAAACAAACCATCTAAATAATAGGGGTCCCAGAAGGAATAAAAAAACTTGTTTGAAGAAATAATGACAGAAAATTTCCCTGATATTGGGAAGTAGAAGAAACTCACATAAATACAAGAAGCTAACAGAGTCCCAAACAAGACCAACTCAAAAGACTGACACCAAGACACATTATAATTAAAATATAGGCCCAGTGCACAAATTCAGGCATGGGTGGGGGCTTGGCCAATCAGGAAAGAACGAAACTGGGCCTGTTGGGAGGAGAAAACAGGGGGAGAATGGCTGGCCAGCTTGGGGAAGGGGCTGCTGGTGACTGGCTGGGCAGGTCCCACCCATGACTGGGGTTAGGGGCTGATTGGGGTGGCGTTGGCTGTGGGTGGTGAGCTGGTCAGCCCCACCCCTGTGTGGGGGCCAATCGAGGGGATGTAGCTGAGGGAAGAGGCCTTGGGTCAATCGGTTGGTGGGAGCTGATTGGGGTGGGAAAGGCTGGGAGAAAGGGGACTGCAGGCAGTTGTCCAATTACGCTCAATTAATATTTGACAAAGAAAGCAAGAGCATACAATGAAGTTAAGACAGTCTCTTCAATAAATGATGCTGGGAAATTTCATCAGATACATGCAAAAAAAAAAAAAGAAGGAAGAAGAAGGAAGAAGAAGAAGGAAGAAGAAGAAGGAAGAAGAAGGAAGAAGAAGGAAGAAGAAGAAGAAGGAAGAAGAAGAAGAAGAAGAAGAAGAAGGAGGAGGAGGAAGGAGGAAGGAGGAAGGAGGAAGAAGGAAGAAGGAAGAAGGAAGAAGGAAGAAGGAAGAAGGAAGAAGGAAGAAGGAAGAAGAAGAAGAAGAAGAAGAAGAAGAAGAAGAAGAGGAAGAAGAAGAGGAAGAAGAAGAGGAAGAAAGGAAGGAAGGAAGGAAGGAAGGAAGGAAGGAAGGAAGGAAGGAAGGAAGGAAGGAAGGAAGGAAGAAAGAAAGAAAGAAAGAAAGAAAGAAAGAAAGAAAGAAAGAAAGAAAGAAAGAAAGAAAGAAAGAAAGAAAGAAAGAAAATAAGATAGAAAAAAACTAGATCACCAGCTTGCACCATACACAAAAATAGATTAAAAATGGCTAAAGGACTTAAATGTAAGATGGGAAACCATAAAAATCCTACAAGACTCCATAGGCAGCAAAATAGCAGACATATCATAAGTAGCAATATTTTTACAAACACAGCTACAAGACAATGGAGACTAAGGAGAAAATAAACAAATGGGAATATATTAAAATAAAAAGCTTCTGCACAGCAAAAGAAACCATCAACAAAACAACAAGAAAGTCCCCTGCATGGTTGAACATATTTTCAATGACATTGCAGATAAGGGTTCATTCTCCAAAATTTACAGAGAACTCATACAACTTAGCAAAAAGAAGATAAATGATCCAGTCAAAAAATGGGCAAAGGACCTAATAGACACTTTGAAAGTGGACAAACAGAAGGCCCAGAGACATATGAAAACATGCTCAAAGTCACTAATCATCCAAGAGATGAAAAAATCAAAACAATGAGCTACCATTTCACACCTTTCAGAATGGCTATCATCAACAAATCAACAAAAACAAGTGCTGGCGAGGGTGTGGAGAAAAAGGAACTCTCGTGCACTGCTTGTGGGAATGCAGACTGGTGCAGCTGCTGTGGAAGACAGTATGAAGTTTTCTCAAAAAGTTAAAAATGGAACTCCCATATGACCTAATGGTCCCACTTCTAGGATTATATCCCAAGAAACCAGAAACACCCATCAGAAATGATATATGTACCCCCTATATTCATAGTAGCACAATTTATAATAGCTAAGACTTAGAAACAGCCTAAATGCCCATCAGCAGATGAGCAGATTTAAAAACTGTGGTATATCTACTAGTACACAATGGAATATCTACTATGCTGCTATAAAAAAGAAGGAACTTGTACCATTTGCAACACCATGGATGGAACTGAAGAACATTATGCTAAGCAAAATAAGCCAGTAAGATAAAGATAAATATCACATGATCTCACTCATTTGTGGGATATAATGATCAGCGTAACTTGATGAATAGGAATAAATCCAGAGGCAAATGGTGAGGGTGGGGTTGGGGCGTTAGAGAGCAACCAAAGGGCTTGTATGCATGCATCTTAATATAACCAGCGGACACAGACGCTGGGGCAGTGGGGGCTTGCCCAGGGTGGGAATGGCTGGAGTGGAAGGGGTCAATTAGGGAAAAAGGAGACATATGTAAAACTTTAGACAATTAAAAAAGAAAAGAAAGGTAAGAATTAGAAACAACAGGAGTACATACAATGTGTTAAATCTGAGTTTAAAATACAGAAAAATACAGGGCTACAGAGCCTGGTTTGAAGTAGTTCATATGAAACAGATTAAGGATGTTAATTGACCAAAGTTTTATGTCCCATGAGTGTAACAGCAGTGCTGAAAATACTGCCACAACATTGGTGTGTATCCAAACTACTAAAATATTTGCATCAACATAGTTATTTGAGTTAGTCAAACCACACCTACAATATGGATTTGCATTCATACCACTGTCAAATGGTTTCATAGCAACTGTGTAGGAATAGGACAGGGAACCATTTTGTCAAGTTGAGGGAGAATAAGATCAAAAGAATTTTGTTAAATTTAGCCCAGAAAGACGGGACACATTTTATATTAAACACTGATAAATCTCTTGAGTTAAAACAGTTTAATGAATTTTAGATAAACAGATGGCTACATATATATGATAAGAATGAAAAAGAGGATATACCCCAGTAGGGGGTGTGCAAGAGGCAGCTGATCGATGACTCTCTCTCATCGATGTTTCTAACTCTCTATCTCTCTCCCTTCCTCTGTACAAAATCAATAAAAATATATTTTAAAAAAAAAGAATATACTGAGTTTTTTATCTTTTTTCTCTCATATATTTTAACTTTAGGCAATTTTAGTTTTGACATTTTAAGATAAAGATTATGAATGCAGTGATTTTGATATACATATGAAAAATCTTATTTTTCCCCGCAAAGATCTTGATTTTAATGAGGAATTGTGGTATGTCTGTATTTCCTTGATCTCTAAAAGTCATTTTCCATCTTATATAATTCATATAAACTTGTAATCGGAAAATAAACACAATATATTTTTGCTTCAAAGTAAACTTCACTACAGAAATTGTGTTCTGTTAAGAAAGAGCATGGCAGCTTATTCATCAGCACAGTCTAACATTTTCTTTTGTGCTAATAATCCTTTCCAGAGGCAAAGACTACTTCTTGATGCCTGGCTAGTGTAACAAGTAAAATTGCTTGTCCAATTCCTACCTTGGCTAAAAACAAAAACCAAGACAACAAATTTCACCCCCTAAAAGTGCATATATAAATATTCTATAGAGAATATCTATAAAGGTTTTTAGAAGTTGTACCTTGGACTAGATCCAATAAAAAAAAAAACCGTTTTAAAAAACTACTTTTATCATCTATTAAATATTCCATTAAAAATCCTCAGTCTAATGGAAAGGGCAATTTATTACCTTATCATAGTATTTACAAACAATAGGACTTTGTAAATCTGGATTTAAGAAAAAAAAATTTTAAGTGATGCAATAAAGCATTTGATTTTTAAAACTCCAAATTATGATAAAGTAGACTCAACTGGGCAAGTCTTGTAGAGTGAAGAACTCCCCATATCCAATGCTGTAGAACAAGAAGGACCAGCTCCAACTACACTTTTAGGAGATGAATTTGCTGACTTGACCATAGTTCTTTCTATGCAACAGAGAAAAGAGCTTCTTTGTGGGAACTGCATCACGTTTCCCTACACACCATCCCATAGCACCCTAGAAGGTCACAGAAAAGATTGTAGCTTACTATTAAAGGCCAGTAACCACACCTTGACTTTTAATTAACCAGAGATCAGCAAATATGCTTTGATCATGAACTTAGAACACTACAAAAAGAAGTAAATAAAATCACCAACTAAGGTAATTAATTTTAAGGAGATCCTAGTCTTTTTTTTTTTTTTTTTTAAATCCTCACTCCATGATATGCTTATTGATTTGAGAGAGGTATAGAGGAGAAACATTGATCAGTTGATTCCCATACACGCCTCAACCAGGGATTGAACCTGCAACTTGGGTATGTGTCCTAACTGGGAATCAAACCTGCAACATTTTTGGTGTACAGGATGACATTCCAATCAACTGAGCCAACTGGTCAGGGCCCTAGTGCTTATCTTATTTAAATACCTATCAGAAATATACTGAACAGATGTACCTCATAATTCATTCTAACTACTATTCTCTGATTTTTGGAACTTAGATTGTTTTTATGTTTTTGCCATCTATAAATATCACAGTAAATAATTTTGCACATTTTTAAAAAAGGGAAATATTCTGAACATTCTGAGTTCCCGAACCACTCACTTAAAACTTAGGGTTTAGTTTTTGTAAGAATTGTAACAAGGTATTTATTAAGAGTTAACAGTTTGGGGGAACAATCTTTCCTTATATAATTTATTTAATAAAAGTGCCCTTTCCATTTTTGATGTTGTTCTACCCTAAAAAAAATTACAAATCTGGGCTACTAAAAGCATTTAAAATATATAAAATAGATACAGGATATTTTAACCATTTCATTTTATTTATGATTAAAAATAGGCCCTGGCTGAATAGCTCAGTTGGTTAAGTCATCCAGATACACCAAATTTATGTGCCAGGTCAGGGCACATAAGACTCAACCAATTCTATCTAATAAAGTAGGAGTATGCCAATTTCCTGTCACACCGTCGCAAAGATGGCGGCACCCATAGCCACAAGATGGCAGTGTCCAGCCCCCTCACTCCTCCTCTCCCCAGTCCTTTCAACCCTGTGTGTGTGTGTGTGTGTGTGTGTGTGTGTGTGTAGGGGGTAGCAAATAGGCACTGCAGCCGGACCTACCCTAAGCCCCCAACCACCCAGGGCCAGCCCAAAGTGCAGGCAAGCCTCAGATGGTAGCGGCCCAGGGCCGCCCGAGGCTCAGGTAACCAGGGCTGGCCATGGCTTGAGCTTAGGCAGTGGCAGCAGCAGAGGTGTGATGGGGGCATCACCTTCCCCTGATCACTGGTTGCCTTCCGCCCATGAGGGCTCCTAGTCTGTGAGTGGGGACAGGCAGACTGAAGGACCTCCCTCGCAATGCATGAATTTTCATGCACTGGGTCTCTAGTAAATGCATAATAACTAAGTGGAACAACAGATCAATGTGTCTCCCTCTCTCTTTATCTCTCATTCTAAAATTAAAAAAATAAAGACATTAAGCTAATACAGGAATTTTTACATTGATGCAATTAAGCAGCTGATTTTTTAAAATATTAAATTATGGAAAGGCATATCTAAAACCGCCTTTTCAGTGTCTGTGATTTAGGAATTATCTGTATATGTAATCAGACAAGGAAAACCTAGGTCACATAAGACCATAATATTTCCTCTCTCTAATTTATGGTATGATGGAGTAAAATATCCTAATTAGGGGAAGGAGGGAAGTCAATGGAAAGCAAATCACATAGGTGTATGTGCTATCTAAAAAACTTTGGGCTTCCCTTTAACATTATTAATTTTCATATCACTTCCACATTTAAGTTCCCTAGGCATATTATAGAAATAAATTTAGAAATTGTATACAAACTGTAGTGAAATAATGAATAGGTGTGTACAACAAATATTACCTTTGATTCAAAATAGAGGGTTGTTCTGTGTTCCATCCACCTCCATTTCCAGTAAGCATGGTAACTTGTTTTGTCAATTTATTTGAAATGTCTTCACATTTGTTCATAAGCCTTATAACTACATCTCTTTCTTGGATCAATGTTTTACAGTGCCATATCAAATCTTCCGATAAGCCGTTAGTTTTGGACATCTTTGTGAACTATGGCATAAAAAGAAAACAAGTTAACAGTTCAGATCTAGTAAACAGAAAGCCAGTATCATTTTCTTTCTTTTAAGGAAACAAATTTAATTTAAAAATTTACTAATGACCTTAATCAAATGCTAAAACCTGACTCTTCATATTTACATTTATATTTATATTTCACTTTGACAATCCTGTAACCTCAAACTTAGCACACTGACATACAATATCTTTCTCCCCAGAATGCACAATTCCATACTTATAACTGTGACCATAGTAGCTGTTTTTTATAATGTCTCAAGTTTTGTCTTTAAAATCTCAGATTCATCTTTATTACCAAATGTAATAACTGCATACCTGATCTCTAGCCATTTTTCCCCTTCCTATGACTATGACATATTAGTAAATGATTAATCTTCCTAAAACATATTTTCCCCTATTTATCATCAGTACAATCTCTAACCTTTTAAAACTCCAATTATTTGTTGTCACTTGATATTCCACTCTTAAGCTTAGACTATTAATTGGAAAGATAATGCATGAATCAAAAGTTAACTATGACTGCCAAAACTGGTTTGGCTCAGTGAATAGAGCGTTGGCCTGTGGACTGAAATGTCCCAGGTTCTATTCTGGTCAAGGACATGTACCTTGGTTGCGGGCACATCCCCAGTGGGGGGTGTGCAGGAGGCAGCTGATCATTGTTTCTATCTCATTGATGTTTCTAACTCTCTATCCCTCTCCTTTCCTCTCTATAGAAAATCAGTAAGATATATTTTTTGCCGAGTCCGGTTTGGCTCAATGGATAGAGCGTCAGCTTGAGGACTGAAGGGACCCGGGTTCGATTCTGGTCAAGGGCATGTACCTTGGTTGTGGGCATATCTCCAGTAGGGGGTGTGCAAGAGGCAGCTGATCAATGACTCTCTCTCATCAATGTTTCTAGCTCTCTATCTCTCTCCCTTCCTCTCTGTACAAAATCAATAAAATATATTTTTTTAAAAAGAAAATCAATAAGATATATTTATTTTAAAAAAATAACTATGACCAATTCAATAATTTGATAGATTTTCCAAAAATTAATTTTAATACACCTGTTTTAGTAAGAATTTCTTTTAAAATGTATTTCTACTTATTTTTCTAAAGGACACAATGAATATGCAGTAAAAGCTATAATAGAATTAAAAATTTTCCAAATAGGTAGTTGAAAATATATATGCTGAAAAACATTACAAAAATCCTTAGTGAAAGGATTAGAAAGCTAAATAGCTATCTGAAAGCTAGTTGAGCAAAAAGACAAAAGTCCACAATCCAGAATGGAATACAGAAAATTAAGTAAAATCATCTGTTAGGATAGAACGACACATGATTTTGATTCATGTCAATCTTATTTAGCATATTCTTTCATATTACGAATCACATTAACAATTCTAAATAAGCTTTATGAATTTATTTCTAAATTCACAGAAAATCTCAAGCAATAGAGATTAAATGTTTGTATGATATACTAAGATAATTTCATAAAAATGCAGTTTATAAAAATATACGTTTTTCATATCTAACCTAGAATAAGTTGGCAAGGAAGAAAATCTCTAATATATTTGAAAAACAATGTACTGCAGGGTTAAAAATAAAAATTGATCATTTCACAAAATGGCATTGTGAAATATAAAGTTATTTGCACACTACTTTACATTTTCACAAGGAAAACATTTATAATCACAATGTGACCTCCCACTCTCTGCTTTCCAGAGAAAAGCAGGATATATGAGAATCAGTGACTTGAAGATTTTAAGGGGTTCCATCAGAACAAAAACCCATCTCATGCCTACTGTAGTATGAGTGTGTTTGTGAAAGAACCAACACGAATAACTATGAAATACAGAAAGAACATGTATTCTGTACTTTTTATGTGCTATAAACTACTAGATGTCTTTTATTCTCTAACATTAAGTCCTCATGGCAATTACAAGACCAGTCTACTAATTCTGGATCAATAAAGTGAAGCTTCAATTTTTAATGTGACGAAGATAAGAGATTCTAAAATCCATGTTCTTTTCTTTTCACTATAACTAGTACCTTCCTAAATAAAATTTAAGACCTTGTAGTTAAACAAAAAATTTTTAAACTATAACCAACTACTATTTATTATAGCAGTACTACCCTGATTGGTGAAGGTACCTGGTATGTAGACACAGTCCCTGTCCTCATGTGGTTTATGGTCATCAGAAAAGACATGCAACAAATAATTTTAAGTGTTAACAAGTGGTATTATAAGGGAGACAACAAATTTAATGGGCACTTTTTTCACAAGGAGACTAATCAAATCTAGAATCTAGGAAGTCCTTTCAGAGTAATAAGCTCAGAAATAAGAACCATTTTGATTCACAGAAGATCAATTCATTAGGACAGAACCTAGAGAAGTAAGAGATAAGCTAACATTACAAAAAAGGAACAACCAGACACTAGTGTCTCCCAATGAAACAACACAACAACAACCTTATAATAGTGCTGGTGGGATAAACTTCAGTTTTAACTTCACAGAAATTCACTGGTTCAGAAAAACACGTTTGTTTAACATGTTTGTGCTAAACTATACCAGAGAGGTTTAACCAGAAGTCTAGGAAGTTATAGAACAAATAATCCAGTGTTGTTGTTTTTCCACCAAAGATACTATAGGAAAAGAGATAAGTGGATAAAGAACCTACAGATTAAAATAGTTACAAAGGCCTATCAAACAAGCTCAATATGTGAACCTTATTTGGATCCTAATTCTAACTCTAATAAACAAAAAATATTTATAACATTTATGAGGAAATAGTAATCTGAACATTTGAATGGGTATTTTCTAATATTAAGGAATTATTGATGACATTAAGTGTAACAATGTTACTATGGTTTTAGGGGATAAAAAACTGTTTTGAGTATGCATTTGAATTTTTAGGAATACAAACTGAATTCTGAAATCTTTTTACACATAGTAAGAGATGGAATATAGATAAATAAGATCAGACATCAGCTGGTAACTAAAGCTTGTGATGAACACATGGGAGGTTCGTTATACTATTCTAATTTTTATGTTTGAAATTCTTGTATGGCATTGAAGTTCAACAGCCAAAGTTTCCCACTCTTTCTCCCCTAATCCCATACAAGCCAACCAACATTAGAGATGATCCAAACTACTGCTGCTAGTTTAGAATTTAGGTCTATCTGATAGCGATATACTACACTGTCCATGAATATAAAAAGTAGATAGATTTTCAAGGAGAAAGTTTGAATGATGAATCTGATAGGATATAGTTTAGTTATGCATGATAATGAGCCCAAAGCATTAGAAGTGTAAATAAAACATAAGTGTATTTCTCTGTAATACAAATGAGGACCAGAGGAAGAAGTTCAGATATGGTACAGTAGTTCCAAATCAAGAATTCTATTTTGCCAAAACCAATTTGGCTCAGCGGTAGAGCGTTGGTCTGCGGACTGAAGGTTCGATTCCGGTCAAGGGCATGTACATTAGTTGCGGGCACATCCCCGGTAGGTGGTGTGTGCAAGAGGCAGCTGGTCGATGTTTCTCTCTCATCAACATTTCTACCTCTCTATCTCTCTCCCTTCCTCTCTGTAAAAAAATCAATAAAATATATTAAAAAAAGAAAAAGAAAGAAAAAAAAGAATTCTATTTTATTCTTCAGTATCCTTAATATGTGGTTCTCATTATCACAATAACGTCTCAACCAACAGGAAGAAAAGATCCTTAAAGAACATTTTTCCAAAAATTGTAATATATTTATATTTACATCCTATTGGATAGAATTTTGCCAAATTACCTACCACAAGGGAGGCTGAAAAATGTAGTCTTAATATATTGTGGATATGACCAGCCATAAATCTGTTTAAAAGCCCTAAGGGAGTTAAAAAAGCAAGAAAAATGGTTTGATCAAAAAAGTTTCACACAATATGGCTAGAACTGATATTGGGAGAGAAGCAGAAAACAACAAATGGCATATACAGCACTTCCAATGTAAAGTATTGTGGATATCTGCAGCTAACATTTTCCAAGAGCTTAGACTTCCATATGGGACAGTACCATAACTATACCCACTTACAGATGAAAACATAGAGAAACAGAGAGAATATGCTTAAGGTTATATAAATTACTAGAAAATGTCAAAACTGGGATCTAAAACTAGGCCATCTAGCTCCACTGTATTATTCACCCACCCCGTGGTAAGCCCTTACAAAACCAAGGGAATAAATGAAAAGACGTGCGTGAAATTCAGAAACAAGAGATCAACACAACAGAGACAACAGGATTCCTTAATTATCAAGGAAATGAGATCTCAAGGCCACAGCTGATCAGCTTGCCTATAATACAACAGTCTAATTCAGGGGTGGTCATAAGACACTAAAAGATACTTCCTCAAGAATATAAAACTGACAGGATATCTGAAGTATCTAAAGACTGAAGGTAAATTCAGTCAGCTGGGGAGGAGTACAGAGTTGAAGTAATAAGTATATAGAAAACTAAGCAAACAGAAAAATCAAGGCAACAAACAACTAGAGAAAAAAAACAGTAAGCAAGGAAAGAAAACAATTTATGTAGTATACTACATGGCTCAGCAATGAAAAGCATTTACATAGTCATAATGTAGATACTAAAAAAAATCTCTAAGATTGCATATTAACTTATATTGGTAGGGTTGGGGAATAGGAAATGGGCATGTGAGGCGAGATAGATAATGAGAAGGGAGCTAATCCTACATTAATATTATCATTTCTGTTATGTCAGCAGATAAGGCCTGCAACTGAAAAATAAAAAATAGGATTATGTTTTTATGTGTGTTTTTGTATTAGCTAGAAAAAGTGAAAGAAGTTATCTGTAGTATGAAAAATATACTGGTGAGTGGAATAGATATGGATTTTGGGGCAGCACAAGCCTATTTTTTTTTTTTTTTACTTGTTAATCTAAATAGATGCATAAGCATGTCTGACACGGTTCAGTGGTTTAGTATCAACTTACGAACCAG